GGTGTGGTGGCACACATCTGTAATCCCAGTGTTCAGGCAGGCAGAGGCAGAAGGATCTTTATGAGTTGGAGGCCAGCCTGCTCTATGAAGCAAGTCCAGGACAGCCAAAACTACACAGAGAAACCTTATCTCGAAGAACAAACAAATAAAATAAAACAAAAAAGAAATAAAAGAATATTTGATCCCATTGTGAACTGTAAAAACCTGTTTCTCATTGTGGTATGGCTCAGTCTTTGATCCTAGAGCTTCCCGTTTACGGTAAGCAAGCAACTGTGGTGTGGCCCAGCCCTAGCACACACCCTTAATTCAAGAGCTAAATAAGGTCAACCATGGTTCAAGAGGTTACGAAATACACCAGCTGACAGGGAGTAAACAGAAAGGAGGGACATTGAGTTGAAGCATATTTAAAAGGCTGTGGAGAAGGCGCTTTTTTCTTCTGGGATATCTGCTGAGTAGGAGGGTCAGCTGGGCACTTTCTCTGGCTCTCTCACCCCAGCATCTGGTTCCTGAGTTTTCATTAGTTGTGGAGAGCCGCTCTTTAAACTGCATTGTTATGTTTTCATGTTGGCCTTTACCTTGACAAAGAAAGGAGGAAATTTCGCTAAATTCCTTAATGCTTGTCTGTGTGACCTTGGACCATAACTGCTTTAGGGAATTAGTTTTAGAATAGGACTTTATCTGCTATAAGGACATAGTTTTTGAAAGGTAATTGGATGTTTCCATGAATCTTTTCTTTTTGAATTGATGTGACTTGTCTTTGTTTTATGTATACAAAAATGAACTCTGGAATAAACCCATGCTGCTTCAGTCATATTGACAACCCTCTCAAGCTATCCTGTGAGTAGTGTGATTTGTTTTAATTATTTTAAATCCTCACTCCCCACTCAGGTACTATTCGACTCTGCTGGTGAGGTCCAGCAGTTTGGCCCTCCCAAACAGGGACCTGGGATAAGGGGAAAGCAGTGAAGGAAACCTGGATGAGCTTGGATCATAAGGGGGCGCAGTGAGGGTGAGTAAAATTGAGAGTAAAAAAATCAAACGACTGGGATTTTATTATTTTTTTATTAATTTTTATTTTTTTGTTTTATTTGAGACAGGGTTTTTCTGTGTAGCCTCCTTGGTTGTCCTAGACTCACTTTATAGACAAGTCTGGCCTCAAACTCACAGATGTTAGTTGTTAAAAAAAAAGCATGATGCTAGTCAACCGATATTCTATGCAGGAAGTTTATTAGGAGGGTATGGAGGGAGTGGGAAACAGGGCATGGTGGGGAGAGAGAAAGAAAGAGAAAGGGGGGCGCCCCGAGAGAGAGAGACAGAGAGAGAGACAGAGAGAGAGACAGAGAGAGTGTAAGAGAGAAGGAGTGTGAGAGAGGAGACCAAGTGTCGAGGTTGGCCCTTTAAGGGGCAAAGTAACCACACCTTCCAGGTGTGGCCACCTGGCCGGCAACACATGATGACATCATAAGTTGCTGGGTAACCCAGGAGCAGGTTGTGTTCCAAAATACCAACAACAGAGATCTGCCTGCCTCAGTCTCCCAGAGTGTTGAGATTACAGACATGGGCTACCACGCCTGACTGGGATTCTAATTTTTAAAACAACAGTACAGGCTTGGGTACCTTCCCTTGTTGCAGAAGTTTTTGTCTTAATCCCAGGTGTGGATATGGGGCTGATTCAGATTGTCCACAGCAGCAAACTACTGAGAAGGGCTCTCTGCCAGCTGCAGATAGTTTAACTCTAAGGATTCAGAGATGGAATACCTGGCAGAGTCCAGAGAGTGTTGAGGGTGTTGAAGAATGGTGCTGGTGCTTCCCCGCTGCTGCTCCTGGTTGCTGTTGATGTAGTGTGGCGAGAAGAAGTTGGAGATCTTCTGAAGAGAGGATTGGACTTGCCACAAGGCACCTGACGACCCTAAACAGCAGGAAGCAGCTAAGGACAACTATGCCTCCTCTCCCCACTTTCTTTTTCTCCTACCTGGTGTTGGCATGTCGGAAAGGATTGGGGTGGAGAAGGAAGAAGCATAAGAAACGTAAAATAGAAAAATAGTCTAAAAAAAGTAATGCAGCATTCCCTGTCTGTTCACTTGTATCTCCCAGGCTTAGGACAGTGCCCTCTTTATGGTCTCTGCAGGCACTGCAGGCATTGGTACCAATAATACTTGCAGGCAAAACAGCCACACACTGAAATAAGTAAATACATTAATAAATCTATTTAAAAAAATGTTTTGAGAAGTCAAAGGCAGTCAAATAAGCACACTTAGCCAGTCATTCCATAGATTATTCTAAAAGGCACCATATTTTGTTGGTTTTTGTAGTCCTAGTACCTTCACTGTAAACAGCTAGTGCTTAATAAAATGGTTATGAATGATCATCAGAAGATATTTGATTAAAAGCATAAAGCTGGGGTGTGGAGAGATGGTTCAGTAGTTAAGAGCACTTGCTGCTCTTCTGAAGGACCAGGGTTTGATTGCCTGTGTTTGTAGTGTTTGTACTTTAGAACAGTGCCTCACACACAGACAGTTAATGTGATAGAGGCATGTACAAGGTACAGTGGAGCACAGTAATAATCTGCTACATAAATCTTAACTGTCCTTCGAGCTTTAACCTTTGACCCCTTAATGAATCTATGAGTTTACGCTGCTATCAGGCAAATCCAGTTTGGTTTTGCCTTCACTCTAATTCTCTTATCTAGCTTCTCTCTTCAGTGACCTTCTTACTGATAAACTTGTTCTCCTTTCACACAGTTAATGCTCCAAACAGCTACAAAAATGTATTTTTCCATGTAAAGCTGATCAGAGTACTTTCCTCCTTAAAACTCTCTGGTGGTTTCTCAGAATAAAAGTTAGATAGGCAGGGCTGGAGAGAGCGCTAGGCAGTTAAGGAGTGCTGACTGCTCTTCCAGGGGGAGCCAGGTTCAACTCCCAGCACCCACATGTCGGCTCACACCTGTTCCAGGGGACCCGACACCCTCACACAGACATACATGCAGGCAAAACCCCACTGTATATAAAACACAAATTATTTTTAAAAAGTTAAATAGGCTGGGAAGATGGCTCAGAAAGTAAAGGGGCATGCTGCTAAGCCTGACAGTATGAGTCCAGTCCCCAGAACCTATGTGGTAACTCCTACAGGTTGTCTCTGACCTCCACATATGCACCCACCTATCTATATATAAACTAACTAAATAAATGTTTGTCTCTGACCTCCACATATGCACCCACCTATCTATATATAAACTAACTAAATAAATGTAAACAATTTCAAAAGAGTCATTTGTTTATCGCCAAAAGTTTCCAAGGCCCATGTGACCTTGACCTGAATGGCTTTGACTTCTTAAAACTTCGATTTTTTTTTTCCTACTTCCTAAACACATCAAGCTTCTACTGTCCTGAGCCTATTTGGTCCCTTGCAAATCTTACCACACTATTGTTTTCATTGCTGTGCCAGTTCCTCAGCCTGGTCTCTGCTGGTGTTCACACTGTCCAAAGTAGAACTGCTTTTACTTGATAAGGTTTATTTTGCTACCCCTTTGTAACCTATGTTTCTTTTAATTGCCTTATAACTTATATTTGCAAGTTTTAGGCCCATGTTAATTAAAACCTCTTAGTGCTTCTCCAGAGAGCCAAGGAATGTAAAAAGTTCCTGACATTAGCCATCTGTGAGGGCAGAGATAAGGAAGAGAACAAGCAGAGATCTCTACTAAATGGTGAGAAAATCAACGGCTGGCGCCGGTGAGATGGGCTTTGTTTGGAAACTGGGCCAAATGGCCCCAATCCTTCTCCTGACCTTTGATTCAAAGCCTGTAACCCCCACTCCTCAGAACAGACATGGGATGAGTCTCACCCTCCCACATTTAACTGTGGATGGCAGGAAATTCCAAACTGACTTGAAGATCAGATATTTACGACAGGGCTGACTGGACCTACGGGTGACCAGAACTAAACAATTATTTTAAAAGTTAAACACCTCATCCAATCCTAAATCGCCAAGAAGGCAACCCCAGGAGATTCCTGCCTTGTGTCTTTTAAAAACCTAAGGTCTTTGTCTCCCGGTGCCACTCCTAGCTGACCAGCAGGGGTGACCCCATTGTGCAATGGTCAAGAGGAACCTCTTTCATTTTTGCAACGATGGATGATTAGTTTCCTGAGTTTTCTTCATACCTTCTTATATTTAGGCTCTTGTTGGGCCTAACACCCCTCCCCCCCAAAAAAAACAACAACACACACTTCTTATGCAAGGTAGAGGCTTGTTCGTACTCTGTTCACTTGTTTCTCTAGGGCCTAGAACAGAGCCTCGCATACAACAGCTGCTCGGAGAATACAGGCTAAATAAATGGGTGAATGGGTCACTGTTTAACTGGCTTCCAAAGGCTTATTACCACCAAAGCATTAGTGTGTTCATTTCTGCGCTTGAAGTGTACATCTCCTGGAATACAGTAGAGGCGTAGGAAGAACTGTTTGCTAAAAGAATGAACGTTTGAGTCAACATCGGATTCTGTAAAAATCTTAAAATTCAGAACGCTTGTCGTCATCGAGACTAGGCAAGCTCTGGAGAAATTGGTTAGGAACTTTAGGGCAGGGCTCAGTCTTGAAGCCAAGAGTGGTATGTATGGCTGGGGTTTGTATTTGAGAAGAAAAGCTATAGAATGCAAGTGTGTAGAGAGCAGACACTGAAGCAGCCACGTGTGGAGACTGTAATCCCAACCCTGGGGAGACATAAATTGGGGGCCAGCCTGGGCTACAAAGTGAGATCCTAACACACACAGAACATATTCCCTCCACTCCCAAATCAACAGTGGTAAACAAGGAAGGATGGATAGAAAGAAAAAGAAAAAACAGAAAATTTCATACACGTTAATTCCTTATAGTCAATATTCAGTGAGGGTGAGGCCCGCGGCTAACCATGCTCTCTGGGGATTAGCGAACTGCATTTCCCATCATGCATCGCGTCGGACCGGTGGCTCTCCTGGACCACAACTCCCGGCATGCCGCCTGTCCCGGCGGCGCGGCCCGGAGCTGGTTTGATGGGTGGAGCGGCGGCGGAGGATGGAGTCGGTGGTGTTCCTCTTCTCTCTCCTCGACTGTTGCGCGCTCATTTTCCTCTCCGTCTACTTCGTATCCTTGCTTGAGAGGGGCCGCGGCCGCCGCTCTTTCCCAGGCCCGCCGCCGGGGCAATGGGTGGAGGGTGGGTGGGCCTGGCAGGCGCTGGCAGGTGTGGGGTGAGGGGTCGGCGTCGCGGGCCCGGGTCGCGAGCGGAGGAGCCGCGCTGCGCCTCTGGCCAGCCTGAGCCGGCTTCCCTCTGCCTCCTCTCCGCCTGGGCCTGCGGGAGAGCGAAGCGGTCCCGAGAGGTTGGCTTTGCTGCCTTCCCTGGTCCCCGGCAGCACCCTTGCCCCTTTGTCCTCGCGGGTGTCTGCGCTTCTGGGGACTCTCCACACCCAGGAGATGACTCATTCCGAGAACCGGCGATGCGCTTCCTGCACGTGCAAATTCTTTAGAGAGTTTTTGAAAGGAGTTACTGCAGAAGCATCCGCAAGGTGTTTTTGCCTTCGGAGGTGGAAGATCTGCAAATTCAATAAGTGCATGTGACTTAGAGGCCAGTTTCTAAACTTTAAAAATCTTGTCTGTCTTAAAATTCAGTATTTTCTGTACAATTGTTTCTGTTACAGGCTTCAGACAGTTTTCTTCCAGACCAATAAATGGTGTTGAGCACTGTAGTAGTTGTGTGGCTACAGCGCTTCCCGTCGTTTGTCATAGTCTTTGTTGTAGCACAGTCCATAGTCTGTGTTGTAACGCACAGTCCAGTTTTAAGTAATTAAATATGACTAGAGAAGTGCATTAGGACCTTCGAATGTTGACCCTTTCCTTCAGAATCACATCCTCTTTTCTGATAGAATTTGACTTTGTTTGGCACTGTGCAACTTTGGGATAGCTGCACAGAGTGCATTCTCCACTTTGTTGTGAACTGACGGTTTGTTTGGGGTTTTTCTTTTTGAAATAGGAAAATACAAAATTTGGAATTAGGAATCTTTGCCCAGCACTGTATCTTGCCTGCTTCGATTTTCTTTAGGAATGTAAATGTTTATTTCCTAGATACACACCCTGAGAACTTGGGTTAAACACCCAGCAGTGCCTGCCCTGTTGGAATTATCTAACAGCAGTTCTTGCTTTAATGATTTCAAATGAAAAGAGCCCTATGTTCTATTAGCTTTGAGGAACTGACTGAAAGGGCAACAGCTCTTGCTTAAGTCCTGATGACCTGTGTTTAGCTTGTGATATAAGGCACCAGAGCTGTTTGACAGAAATGCAACAGTTTATTATTATTATTATTATTATTATTATTATTATTATTATTATTACTATTACTATTATTATGGTTTGGAAAACTAGATTTGATCATTAAAACAGTCTTGGTCTATACCAGATCATGTCTATATGTACATGTTAACTGGAATGTTTAATATTGGTTAAACAAAATTCAGCGTGCATTTTGGTGAATATTTAGCATATTACTGTGTTGTAGGATAGTTGGAGTAATAGCTTTATTACTACGAAAGTGGTCAGAATAGACTTTATGTAGACTTAGCAGTGTTTGGAATTTGAGTAGTGAAGAAACCTGAAGGGGAAAAGGAGACATTTGCAGTTCCTGGCAAGAGCAAGATGCAGGGGCAGGCATGTTCATTTCTGGGTGATGGTTAGAGATCATCAGAAGTACATGGTTGCTTTAGACTGTAGCAAGAGATCAGGTTGGGAAGGAAGAATTAAATCAAGGAGGATTTTTGTTGTTGTTGTTTGTTTGTTTGTTTTATCCTGCAAGCAGTAGTGAATCACTGCAAACTTTTGAGCTAAAGTGGCTTTAGGTAAAAGATACACAATTTCTGTTAGAAACAAATTCAAGTGATTCTTTGTTGATCTGGAGTGTGGCTCAGTGGTAGAGTACCTCCAGAGAATAGATAAGGAGCTTTACCAAGAGAGTAGGGGAAATGCATTCATCTGTGACTACAGTACCAATGTATTCCATTTGTGAAAAATGCTAAGACCGTTAGGGTAGCCTGTTTTTACCAGAAGGTAACCATGTGAGGTAGTGCATCTTGCTTGGCTAGGTTTTATCATTCTACAATGTGTGTGTGTGTGTGTGTGTATAATATATAATTTTTTTATATATTATAGTTTATTCACTTTGTATCCCAGCTGTTGCCCCTCCCTCATCCCCTCCCAATCCCACACTCCCTTTCTCATCTTCTCCCATACCCCTTCCCAAGTCCACTGATAGGGGAGGTCCTCCTCCCCTTCCCTCTGACCCGAGCCTATCAGGTCTTGTCAGGACTGGCTGCATTTTCTTCTTCTGGCCTGGTAAGGCTGCTCCCCTGTCAGGGGGAGGTGATCAAAGAGCCAGCCACTGAGTTCATGTCAGAGACAGTCCCTGTTCCCCTTATTAGGGACCCACTTGGACACTGAGCTGCCATGAGCTACATCTGTGCAGAGGTTTACAATGTATATATTGTTCAAAACATGTTATATATGATAAGTACATACAATTCAGTCAGTTTAAAAGCTCAAATACAGTAGTTTATTAGGAAGAAGGTTCTGCAGAGTAGATTGAAAATAGGAAGATAAACCAATTCTTAATTTGAATTATACTGTTAATTGTGGTGTTGGCATTAACTAATTATAAATTTGTGGGGAAGGTGGTGAGATAGGAGATACTTGGGTGAGAACATTTTACATTTTTACTAAATTTTACCTTTTTCTTTTTGAGACAGTGTTTCATATATTCTGTCCTAGCCTTGAAATTTAAAATTTACTATGTAGCTCAGGAGGGCCTTGAACTTCTAATCCACTCATCTCCTTAGTGCTGGAATTGTTTTTTGAAACATAAATAATACTTTGTTGTTAAACAGGAAGGATAATAGCTGAGGCTTGAGGGGCTCACTGGGGTAAAGTGTCTGCTTGACAAGTGTGAGGATTTGGTTCTGATCCCTAGCACTGGGCAGAGAGTGGACAGAAGGATTCCGGGGCTTGTTGGCCAGCCAGACTAGTCAAACAGCAAGTGTCAGGTTTAGTTAGAGGCCCTGTCTCAGAAAATAAGGTGGAGAGAAATAGAAGGAGCTGGGCAGCATCACCATCTGACACATGCATGTGCACACTGAAGTTTTATGTATATAATTCCTTATCTTGTTCACCAGATCATTACATTGTCTGATTTAGAATGTGATTACATTAACGCTAGATCATGTTGCTCAAAATTAAACAAGGTAAGACATTTCTTTGCTCATTTTTGGCTCAATGCAGCCAATTCTTATTAAGTTTTACTATAGATAATCAACATTTGCATTTTTTATTTTGTGTATTCATTATAATGCTGTAGATTGAACTGCTATGTTTTACAGCATTTTAGATCATGAAGTTGTGCTAGATATGACTTTAAATTTTGTTTCTTCACTGTGCATGTTCCTGGTCTTGTCTGCATGAGGCTTATTGTTCTTGTTTTCGGTGCCCATACTGCCACCTCCCACTCATGGAAAAATTTTCAGACTGTTTTTTGTTGAATGAAAGAAGACGTTCCTTGTGTGGTTTGTGGAAAAAAGTGGCCTTGTTAATTTGTTTTAAGGCCATTTTGTATTTAGTATAATAAGAACTTTATATTGACATAAATCCTCTAATTTGGGTAGTGTAATACAGATACAGGAAACCATTTGTCCCTGGCTCAGTTTATGAGAGGAGCAGACAAAGAAGCTTTCTGGATAAAAGTTTATGTAAAAATATATTGAGGGGCACTTTTTGCATGACTTGAAAAACAGTTCCCATGTGACATCACATCTTCAGTCTATTGGGGGAAAAAAAAGAACAACAAAAAAGCAAGAGGTTCAGAGGAGTTGGTTGTTAGGTATTCCCTCACTGAAAACACCTGCTTCCTCATCTTGCCATACCCAGCTTGTGGTAGTTTCTTTTTTTCTTTTCAGAGTAAGTTGATGTTCTAGTATTTGTGTCATTACAATCTACTCTTACAAAAATGTAAGTCTTCATTGCTGATTCTCAGAGTAGACAGTAGTAACATTTCCCTTGAACCCTTTCTTCCCCGACCCCTGTATCATTACTTTCCTTGTGTTAATAACTGTCACTATTTCAGCCAGGCAGTAGTGATTTAATTCCAGGCCTTTAATTCTAGTGCTGAGGAGGCAGAGACAGGATCTCAGTGTTTGAGGCCAGCCATGTCTACAGAGACAGTTCCAGGACAGCCAGGGCTACATAGAGAAACCCTGTCTTGAAAACAGATGAGAGAGAGAGAGAGAGAGAGAGAGAGAGAGAGAGAGAAAGGAAGAAAAGAGAAAGAAAAGGGGCGGATATCAAATATTTCTTTTATTCCCTTAGTTTTCTGTTTACCTTTTACCATAAGCCCTTCAGTACTGTTTTCTACATGGTAAAGTGCTGGACATGGTAGTGAGTGCCTGTCATCCCAGTATTTAGGAGGCTGAGGCAAGAGTTTTGCCATGACTTTGAGGCCAGCCTGGGCTTCATAGTAAGACCCTTTCCACTGTCTCTCCTGAAAATGAATTAGCAAAAGGTTGTAAGGATGTGTCTTTTTTTTTTCCTCCATGGCCAATTTCTTTCTCAGACCCACATCCTCATGCTGTCTTCTGGTTGGCTGTTCTGAACATGTTTCATAGTTCTCATTCTGTAGTGCATCCCCTGATTCTTGAGTCTTGTGTCTTCCTTCTTTGCTGCTACTTCATTTTGGTGGAATAACTTCTTGGTGGACATCGCAACATGCAGGAATTAGAGTTTGGAAATATCTATGCTTGAACATATCTTACCTGTATCCTTGATTCTATCTGAGTACAGAATTATAGCCTGACAACTATGTTTTCTTTCTGACTTTGAAAGAAATTGCTTAGTAATCTTCTACTGTCCATTGCTACTCAAGTTAATACCCTTTTGTTTTACTTTTAGTTAAGTTCATGCGTATGTCTGTATGTGCAAGTGAGTACAGGTGCCTGCTGAGGCTGGGGATGTCAGTTTCCACTGCAGTTTGAATTATAGAAGATTTTACTTACCTGATGTGTGTACTGGGAACTGAAGTTGGGTCCTCTGCCAGAACCGTGCACACTCTTAATCACTGAACCACTCTCCAGTCCTACTTTTTAATCTTTTAAAAAATATTTATTTTTATGTTTTATTTATGTGTTTGTGAGTTGATACCACATAGTGAAGATGCCTGAGGAGGCCAGAAGAGGCCTCAAGAGTTACAGACAGTTATGGACCACCCCATAGAATGCTGGGAAGCAAACTCAGGTCCTCTGTGAACAGCAAGTGCCCTCAACCACTGAACCATCTCTCCAGTCCCCTATTTTGAAATTTCTGTTCTTTGTTGTTGTTGTTTTTTTTTGTGTGTGTGTGTGTGTGGGGGGGGGAGTTGAGACAGGGTTTCTTTGTGTAATGGCCCTAGCTGTCCTGGATTCATTTTATAGACCAGGCTGGCCTCGAACTCATAAAGCTCTGCCTGCCTCTGGTTCCAAGTGCTAGGATTAAAGGTGTGCACCACCAGGCCCTGCTAGAATTTCTATTCTTGTTTTGTTGTTTTGAGGCAGAGTTTCACTAGGTAGTCCTGGCTGGTTTTGAACTTGCAGTGATACCCTTGCCTTTGTAGTGCTGGGATTGCTGGCACTTATTACACCTGGCCATTTATTTTAATTTTATCTTTCTGCACAGCGTTTGCTTCCTCAGGATTCTGGAGATGGGGAAATTTTTTTTGGGGGGGGGGGGGATTGTTTTTTTAAGATTGACAGACTAACTGAAAAGACATTGCTATGGATATGAGCCATGCTAATTTAGAGCAGGAGGCTTTAGCATACTGGCATAGAAACTGAATAGAAAGTAAGTAATATTCTGCTTTTACCCTAGTAATTCAGACCTGCTTAGTGAAAGAGTCTAAGCGTTTACTTAGGGTAAGATAGAACTGAAATTTAATTGCTTTAATTTTGAGCTGTTACCTGATGTACTTGCGTAGGGTAAGAAGTTATAGTTGTGCCTGGGGTTTCTGAGTCTAAAAATAAAAACTCTGTATATTTATTGATTTGGCTTAAGTGTCATGTTCAGCCAGGAAAGATGGATCACAGAGGTGTAATGCTTTGTTTTTGGCTTGCAGTGGGTAATACCAGAGCTGATTGGCCACACCATTGTCACTGTGTTAATGCTTATTTCGTTGCACTGGTTCCTGTTTCTTCTCAACTTACCTGTCGCCACTTGGAATATATATAGGTAAGCGTGTAACTACTATTTTATACAGTAAGTAGTTCTTAAAAACATTAACATCTGGACATGGTGGAAAATGTTTATAATCCCAGCACTTGGTGGTAATCCCAGTGTTTGAGAGGTGGAGTTAGGATGGAAGATCAGGAGTTTAAGTCCTTGGCCATGTAGTGAATTTGAGGACATCCTAAGCTACATGAAACCCTAGATAAAAGAAAACAATTAACAGCAGGTTGTCCCCCCAAAATGTCCCAGTGATTAAAATAAAGAACAACAAAATATTTTATGAAATCAGAATAAATTATTGTTCACTTTGGCATATCGGTCAGATAGTAGTTTGTGGGTCTCCTTCCCCAAGGGTATCATTGGCCACTCAGTCTTGGAGAAAGCACAAAACTCATGTGCATAAGAGTTAGCTAATGTTTACTTGTGATGCCTAAAGACTTGTGAAATGTCTTCATGCCCTGAATATCATTTTCTTTTGAGGATAGTCAAAGGCTTGAGACAATAAGGCCTTTATTTGTATCTGTAACACTGGAAATACGTCAAAGAAAATTGCATTTTTACTGCCTGCAAAGTAGGTATTTGGGTTTGGGATTTGTTTTGTTTATTTTGAGCTTTTTGTTTTTGCAGTGCAGATTAAATAACACTAAGTTTTTTATTTAACAAAAATTAGGGGCATAGGAGTTGATGAGGGATGAAGAGTGGGATTGGGAGGGGAGGAGGAAGGGAGCTGCAGCTGGGATACAAAGTGAATAAACTGTAATTAATATAAAAAATAAAAATTTAGTTAAAAAAATTAGGACATAGGGAGCTAGATGGTTCAGTGGTCAGGAGCACTTCCTGCACAGTAATGAGTGGGAGTTTAGATCCAGCTCTCATCCTGAATCCCTGCACAGCATCCTATATTCTGCACAGACAGACAAGTGCATGTATAGACAAATAAGAATTAGATTGTTTTTTTAATTTAGAAAGTATGTTAGTCACTTTTCTCATTGCTATGATCAAAATGAGAAACAACTTAAAAGAAGGAAGAATTATTTTAGCTGAGCATGTCAGAACGTTCAGTTCATGGTTGCTTGGCCAGGAGGTGCTTCTTCACTCCATGGCAGCTGGAAGCAGAGAAGAAGGAGAATAGAACTAGGGCAAGATACAGCCCCTAGCACATGTACTCAGTGACATATTTCTATTTAGGCCCCACCTGCTGCCTTTCACCACTTTCCAATAATAGCATCATATTTTGAATCCATGGAAGGATTAATCCATTGATTGAGTCACAGTTCTCATGATCTAATTGCTCTGGGAAACTTCACAGACACACCCAGAGGTGTGCTTTACTAATGTGGCCTTTCTTTATCATCTACATTGAGAATCAAAGTTAACCATCCCTAGCTGGGCAGGTATGGGGGTGGGATGGGAGAGCCTTTAATCCTAGTGCTCAGGAGGCCTAGGCAGGCTGATATCTGAGTTCAAGGGTAGCATACAGACCAAGTTTCAGAATATCCAGGGTTACCCAAAGAAGCCCTGTTTTCTAAAAAAATTAAAACCAAATCATCGTCGTCATCATCACAGAAAATTTGTTTACAAATAGCCCAGGGAAACATTCATAGTCAAGCTGTGATAGTTTATTATCTAGTGAAGAATTATAGAATAATATTTATTTACTTATGTGTGCATATATGCGTTCAATCCCCTGGAACTAGAGCTACAGATTGTTTGGAGCTACCATGTGGTGTTGGGAACCGAACATAAAAAGAATTCCTTAGAATTATTGGCTGATGATTAAGTATGATGTTATAACAATGACTCGTGTGTGGTGACAAACATCTTTAATCCCAGGACTTGGGATGCAGAGGCAGGCAAATATGTGAGTTAGAAACCAGCCTGGTCTACATAAAGAGTTGTAGGACAACCAGAGGGACCCAGCAGGACCCATCTGAAACAGAACGGAACAGATTAAGGAGTGCTAGTGAGATGCTCTCTGGGTGAGGCCTTGGCTGCTGAGACCCACATAGTCAGGCAGAACTCATTCCTGCAGGTTGTCCTTTGACCTCATGTTTGCTACTCTGATCTCCTCATGTTTCTTAATGACAGAGCATGTGTCCTCTCCTTCATCCATTGACACCTATACTTGTGCTTGAACACACACATTAAAGAATAAAATGGGAAAAAAAGGGTGGCTGGAGAGATGGCTCTGGGGTTAAGAACACGGGCTGTTCTTCCAAAGGTCCGGAGTTCAATTCCCAGCAACCACATGGTGGCTCACAACCATCTATAGTGAAATATGGTGCCCTCCTCCAATGCGCAGGCACACATGCAGGCAGAATGTTGTACAAATAATAAATAAATAAATCTTTAAAAAAGGTGGGGGCATGGAAAAGTGTAAAGCATTGGAGCTAGGCCTGGCAGAACACATTTGTATTGACTTGGGAAATTGAAACTGGAACAGAAGAATTTAAAAATTAAAGCCAGCCTGGGCTACACAGCAAGATTCTGTCTCAAAAACCAAACTCTTCCTAGGACTGGGCCCTAACCAGCTGCAAGGAATCTATGTTCCCAGGATAAGGCTCAGATTAGGATGTTGGACTCTTATGAGAGAGCAATAAGAAAGCTGAAAAAAAAAAAAACATAAAAAATTTTATGCCAAGTGTATATTGTGCTATAGAAAAGTACAAAGACTGACCAGCTTTTCCACTACTGAGATAGGAATTGATGCATAGGTCATGGAGGAGTACTGTTCACTGGTTTGTTCTCCCTGAACCACCCTCCCACATCAATCATTAGTCAAGAAAACGTACCACAGGCAGTCAAATGGGATCATTTTTTTCCTTGAGGTTCCTTCTTCCAGAATGACTCTGTCTTGTATGAGTGTACCATCTAGTTTTATGTCAATTTGTCATAAGTCAAAGTCATCTGATAGGATGGAACCTCAATTGAGAAAATACCTTCATGAGATCAGGCTGTGTGGACAGGCAAGCCTATAGGTAATTTTAATTAGTGATTGATGGGGAGGGCCCAGCTCATTTGGGCGGGTACAACCCTGGAATGGTGGTTGGGTTTTATAAGAAAGCAGGCTGAGCAAGCCAGGAGGAGCTGGGTAAGCAGTGCTCAATGGCCTCTGTAGCAGCTCCTGCCTCCAGGTTCCTGCTTGGCTCAAGTTGCTTTCCTGACTTCCTTCATTGATTAACCATGATACGGAAGTGTAAGACAATGGCAACCCTACCTAAGACAATCAAGTTGGTATAAAGCTAGCCAGCACAGTAGGTGAGGGGTCCTTGGATTTCTCTCACTTCTCTCCCTTAAGTACTGAGGCAGTAGGCCTACACCGGCGTGCTCACTCTGTGCAGTGCTGGGCCAAGCCCCGTGCTTTGTGCTTGGGAGGCAGCACTCTGCTAACTGAGTTACTGCCGCAGCCTAGCTACTTGACCTCTACATTACAGAGTCCAGAAATTCCAGAACGACATCCTAAAGATAAGTGCATGCGTGGTCTTTTTTGACTGGCCTCTTAGCACAGCAGGTTTTATTTGCAGCTTGTATCAGTACTTGATTGCTTTTTTTTTTTTCCATCTAGGATGAAAGGCTGAACTCGGGGGTTTGTGCATGCTTGGGAAAAGCTGCTCCCCTGAGTCACATCTCCAGCCCACATTTTATGTTTTTAAACAGCAAGATTATGCTTTGCAGAGATTTTGTCATAAGCAGGATGTGTTTAATAGAGAAGGGTCAGTATATTAAGAATTCAGTTCAGAGAATGGAGAAGAGATTATATTTTTGGAACAGAGTTGTATTAGTGGGAATGAAAAAGAGTCAGCTTACAAGGGGTAGTAGAAAGAACAAATATCAGGACTTCAGTGGGCAAGCTGTGAAAGATAAGAGACGAGCTGGGGAAGGATACTGGGTGTGGGGGCAGTACTCAGAGAGGCAGAGGCAGGTGGATCTCTTGAGTTCAAGGATAGCTTGGTCTACATAGTCCAGGACAGCCAAGGCTACACAGAGAAACCCTGGTGAGGGGAAGAGCCAGATGAGAAGAAAGTTTTAGTTGAGTGTAATGCCACACGCTTTTAATCTGAGCACTCAGAAGGTAGGGACAGGTGGATCTGTGTTTTCAAGGCCAGCTTGGTCTGCAAAGCAAGCCCAGGACAGCCAAGGCTATGCAGAGAAACCCTGTCTCAAGGGCGGGTTTAGGGGGGGGGGTGAGGGGGAGAAAGTTTTAAGGATCACCAAGGAACTTAGGTAACAGATTTTGAATTGTCAGTCTTTTTGAGACTGTTTGGGGGTATTATTTGGATATACAAGTAAAAACACCCTCTGTTCAGGTACAGTAGTTAGATAAGAGAGAGTTTAAAACTTGTGAAGCTCAGAGACACTTTCACATTTCACAGAAATGGCATTGAGAAATGGTATGTGGCGAGAGTGAGGAAATCAGGGAGCCTGGACATACAGACAGACATGCATGTTTCAAATCTGGCACCATCTGGATGGTGAAGCCCAGGCATGTAGCCATTGATTATCTTGTAGTTTCCCTTCTCGGGTCATATAAATAGGTTACTGAGAGCCAGGTGAGGTGATACAGGCCTGGAATATCAGCACTCGGGAAGCTGGGAAAGGATGATGCTCAAGTTCAAAGCTAGACTAGACTGTAGTGAGTTAGAGGCCAGCTTGAGTGACAGAGTGGGACCATGTCTCACAAAAAGGGGGCTAGGGAAGTGACTCAGTGGGCAAAGTACAAGCATGATGACTGGAGTCCAGAACCTGGCACCCACATAATCCTAGGTGGCCAAGATGGCTTGGGCCTGTAATCTGACTTAGGTGGAGGCAGGTTATCCCTGGAGCAAGCTGGCTACATAAATTAGCTGAATTAAGGAATTCTTGGTTCAGGTGAGAAACCCTGCTTCGGTGTATAAGGTGGAGAGCAATTGAAGAAAGCACTGATGCCAGCCTTTGGCCTCCACGTGGACACACACACACACACAAACATACACAAAAAAATCCTTAGAAGTTTCTGAGAATTTTATAACATTAGTTTGGTTTTGGAATCTCATTTAACTTGTATCTAATGAGAAAGAGCTAAAGAGAAACAGAAGATGTATAAAAGGTTCTCAGTATTTAGTAGGTATTACCACTCTATTTGTTTCCATGGGTAGAAAATTAAATGAAAAGTCAGCAGTAGCTTCCAAAGGGAAACCAGATGGTAGACGTCATCCTGCTGCTTGGTGTTGTCTGAATTTGAGGATGCAATGGCTGGCTCACATTTTCAGGTTGATTACTGTCTTGAGACTTTGTCAGTATTCATGCTGAGATCTGATTTCCTTCTAATGCCTGTCTTTTATCAGGTTCATTATGGTGCCAAGCGGTAACATGGGAGTGTTTGATCCAACAGAAATACACAATCGGGGACAGCTAAAGTCACACATGAAAGAAGCCATGATCAAGCTTGGTTTCTATTTGCTCTGTTTCTTCATGTATCTCTACAGGTGAGTTTAGAGTCCTCTTCACAGCACACTGGATGCCCTGCTTGCTTTTAGTTCATGAGGTATTACTGTATGCTACAATTTTGTGTTAACATTGTAAAACTTCAGGAATTATGTGAATTTATTATGGCTGGTATATTTTTATGTCATTAAATTAGTGTTTTATCTAACCTCTAGTAGAGTTTTCTATACTACCTAAGTTACTCCTTAGCTGTTGAGACTATTAATGTTCTTAAAACTACCATTGCTATTCATAATCCACCTGAGAGGTTTCACTATTTTGTTTCAAAAAGCCAAAAAGGAAAAAATATATGTAATGTTTTACATATTATATTTTATATATTTATATTATATTTATATACTATATTATCTATTAATTTATATTCTATATTAATAATGTATTAGACATCATGTATGATATTATTATATATTATAATATAAGACATCTAATATAACATGTAATATAATATATACAAATATATAATATGCAATATGTTATATTATATATATATATATATATTTTTTTTTTTTTTTTTTCCCCCCCATAATGATTAGAAACTTTTGTTCTGCCAGGCATAGTGGTACATGCTTTTAATCTCAGCTGTCAGGAGGCAAAGGCCTACTTTGAGTTGGTCTCTGAGTTGGTCTACATACTGAGTCCAGACCAGCTCTCTTCTCACCTCTGTGGGCACCAGGCAGGCACAGGGTGCACAGACATAAATGCAGACAGACTCATGAGTAAAACTGGTTTTTTAAAAGTACTTTGTTTGTTTGTTTGTTTGCGTGGGTTTTTTGTTTGTTTTGTTTTGTTTAGACCAGATCTTGCTATATTGTCCAGTCAGGCCTGGGACTTGTAGCAGTCCTCTTACCTATGTCTCCCTAGTGCTGGGATTATAGGTGTGAACCCGTGGAAAGATAACGGTTTGGTTTTGGTTTTCAGTTTTGTATTTTTGGGTATGGTGTTTGTGCTTGTGTACCCACATTTGTGCCTGGTGCTTCTGGAGCCCAGAAGAAGGCTTCAGGTCCCCTAGAACTTGAGTTACAGTCATGAACTGCTGGGCCCTGAAACTGGGTTCTCTTTAAGAGCAAGAAGTACACCCAGGCACTGAGCCATGCCTCCAGCCCCAAGATACTGGTTTTTAAAAACCATTATTTTGGCCAGGAATAGTGGTGTATATCTGTAAACCCAGCACTTGAGGGGCTGAGGCAGGAGGATCACAAAATCAAGGCCATCCAGGACTACTTAGTAAGTTCCATGTTTTCCAAGATACAGCAAGAACCTACCTTAAAAACAAGAAAACAAAAATGTGGGAGTAGTGATTTAGGGGTAGGTTTAAATTATGGTTCTTTACAACTTAGTAAAGGGCAGCCTGTGTAACTTTTTTCTGGGCTGTTGTGCCCCTGTGGGGCATAGCCTCCCCTTTTCTATCTTTTCCTTTGTCAGCTTGTCATTTTTGGCAATATTGTTGTTACCTTACCCCTGAATGTCATCCATAGTTGAGAGGGTTGGGATGGATGCTTTTGTTTAAAAAGTTATTATCAAATTACCAGCTTTTATTTCAGCTATTTTATATGATTCTCTCACACCTGCTATAGTACCTTTCACATAGAAGGCATAATGTTCCCATGTTTAGAGAATGGTAGAGCCCATGCCTTTGGCTTACAGGCTTGCCAAATGGATCTGTGTGCCTCAGATTTTCTTCTGAAAATGGTTATTACTCATACCTACCTAATGAGGTGGAAGCATGAATTAAATGCCTGTAAAGTGAAGTTTATCATCTGTGGTAACTCAAACATCTAAGATATCAGTGGCCACCTTTAATCTACATTGAGTATGCTTAATATGCCTGTTTATTCTGTTAGTAACTGAGTGACACTGAGGTTATTTCTGAGCATTGTAGTCATTGTGGTCTGTTAATCAAGGTTGATCAAGAACAAGGTTAATCCCTGCACATCAAAGGAAAGGATTATAGTTATTTTTGTAGTCCTGGCTATCCCTATCCTGTAACTCACTCTCAGGCTGGCCTCGAACTCATAGAGACCTGCCTGCCTCAGCCTCCGGAGTGCTGGGATTAAAGTGTGTGCCACCATGCCTGGCTATATTTCTTTCTTTCTTTCTTTCTTTCTTTCTTTCTTTCTTTCTTTCTTTCTTTCTTTCTTTCTTTCCTTCCTTCCTTCCTTCCTTCCTTCCTTCCTTCCTTCCTTCCTTCCTTTCTTTCTTTCTCTTTCCCTTCCTTCCCTCCTTCCTTTTTTTTTTTTTTCAATACAGGGTTTCTCTATGTATCTTTGGCTGTCTTGTACTCTCTTTGTGGACTAGGCTAGATTCAAATTCACAGAGATCGCCTGCGTCTGCCTCCCAGAGTGCTGGGATTACAGGCATGTGCCACCAAGCCCAGCTATATTCCATATATTTTTAAATAATTTTTGTTTTTTATATGCACTGAAGTTTTGCCTGTTTGTGTGTCTGTGGAAGGGTGTTGGGTCCCCTGGAGCTGGAGTTACAGACAGTTGTGAGCTGTCATGTGGGTGCTGGGAATTGAACCCAAGTGCTCTGGAAGACAGTGCCCTTAACCACTGAGTACTGAGTTACTTAATCCTGAGTATTGGTTTCTTAATCCTCTTCCTCCTTTCTCCACCCCAGTCCCTCCTAACACCCCAATACCAGGTAGGAGAGAAAGAAGGTTAGTGGAGACAGGAGCCAGAGTTCTCTTCAGCTACTTCCTGCTGGTTAGGGTCATTGTGTTCCTCCACCTTCTTCTCATCCAGCTGCATCAAACAGCAGCCAGGAGCAGCAGGAATGGACACCAGCAGCCTTCTTCTTTCTCTTAGTCCCCATGCACCCCAACACCCTTTGCACACTAGCCTTTATTTCTTCTCAGAATCCTTAGAATTAAACTATCTTTAGCAGGGAAAAAGCCCCTCTCAGAGCCCACATGAGGCAAATACTTTGCTGCTGTGGACAATCTGAATCAGTCCCATATCCTAAACCTGGGATCAAAACAAAAACGTGTTTACATCCACAACAACTGAGCCATCTCTCCAACCTCTCTCTCTCTATATTTCATTGTTTAACTGAGGTGATTTCTTGATTATTTCCTGTCTTGATGTCACCTCAAGTGATGAGTTGGAGCATAGAACAATGGAAGTGTTCAGCTTGGAAGTTGCAGTCTGGGGTAGTACATAGAATGAAGGAGGAGGTGCTTGGGTCTTGCTGTCCTCACAGCTCACAGACCAAGACCAGTTTGCAAGCCAGGAACATGATAGGCTGTGGAAGGAGACCTCACAATTGCACTGGGCTAATGGTCATCTACCCAAAGAAGTGCTTCAGAGGCTGATCATGAGTAGGAATTACTGGATTAATAAGCAAAATGGTAGGATTCTGCATAAGGCAGAGACCTGGATAGGGAATTAATAGGGTTTATTGTTGTTTTTGTGTGTTGGGGGGTTGTTTGTTTGGCCTGGGTATAGCTATTATTTATTTTAAGATTTATTTGTTTATTTTATACAGAGTCTCTCTGTGTAGACCAGGCAGGCCTTATTTTTTTTCTTTTTTCTTTTCCCCAGAGCTGAGGGCCGAACTCAGGGCCTTGCACTTGCTAGGCAAGCACTCTACCACTAAGCTAAACCCCCAACCGCCCAGGCAGGCTTTAAATGTACAGAGATCCATCTGGCCCTGCCTACTTAGTGCTGGGGTTAAAGTCATGTGCCTGGCCATATTTTTAAAGAGTTTATTTTTATTTTGTGTGTATATGTGTATATGAGCATGTGTGCTCACTCATTCATGTGGATATGTGCTTGTGAGTGCATGTGCCCTTGGAGGCCAGAGGCACTGAATGCCCTGGAGCTGGAGTTATAAGTAGTTTTTATAAGCAATCTGACCTAGGTCCTCTGCAAGAGCAGTAAGTGCTTTTTGCTGCTAGGCCATCTCTCCATTCCCTATTTATTTTTTTCATGACAGCACCAAATTAGCTTTAGATTTTGCTCTGCCCCTCATCTCCATTTGTTTATTGTTTTAGTGAGTACATCAGAGGCTTTCATCTGAGTAATTTTTCTGTTAGGTTTTAAGTGACTGCAGTGAGTATTTCTTGATGAATCAGGGCATGCGGGTCCAAATGGACCAGATTCTTGGGGAGTCCTAAGGAAACATTACTAATTCCAGGTTCTTTTTTCACAGTATGATTCTAGCTTTGGTAAATGACTGAAGCTGGAGAAGCCGGTGTTGAAGCCAACCTACACTACACTGCACAAGTGAGGAGCCAGAGAATACGTAAACCACCCTTAGAACCGTGACCAGAGCAGTATATATTTTGGTCTTTGAACAAAAAATATTTTTGCTGTATTTTTACCATATAAAGTATTTAAAAAAATGAATTGAGTTTTTGTAGATTTCTGATTTCTCAACCCCAACACATAAAGGTATTTTGTCTCCTCTGTGGCTGTTTGGTAGAGGTAGGAATGTGTGCCAGTCGTATATGCCAAAGAAATAAAGGATACACCTAAATAAAGGCAGTGGTTCTCAACCTGTGGGTTGTCACCCCTTTTTGGGGGTAAAACAACCCTTTCACAGGGGTTGCCTAAGACCATTGAAACAGCACATTTACGTTATGAGTCATATCAGTAGCATAAGTACAGTTAGGAAGTAGAATAATGTTGTGGTTGGGTCAGCACAACATGAGGAATTGTATAAAGCGTTGCAGCGTTAGGAAGGTTGAGAATGCTGCCTTAGTAGATGACCTGAACTGTCTTCAAGTCTGAAAAGCCAGAGCAGGGAGCAACACAGCCAATCCGGACAAAAGAAGAAAGTTACTTACTCCTCTTGCCTATATTGTGGCAACTGTGTGTTAACGTGGCTAGTGACTTTGGAGACTTTTCAGCTAAGTCCATAGAAAATAACATTTTAAAATATATTTAGTTCTCTTTAGTATTTGAAACCTTATAAGCCATGTGCCCAGGTACAGTGTAATTCCTGCTTACAGAAAGGAAACATTTTAAAATCAAGATTTTCTCCAAGAGCTTTCATTTTAAAGCTTGTACCTTTACAATCATTCCCACCTCCCCCTGATCACTTTGGCTTTTGCCAGCCCTTATTTTTGCATCATAACTGTTGCATTTATATTTGAGCTCTTTGATTAATCTGTCTTAGTGGATTTGGAGAAGTGATTTGGTAGAAGACACTCAGAATCAGGAAACCAGTCAGTCATTGTTATGAACTTGGTGGAGAATTGACTGCAATTCCTTTCCTTTTGCACTCACCACTTTGCGGACTGGGAACCCAGCACAGGCCACTGCACGCACATGGCAATGCCTAACTACTCTTTACACGGTCGCTCTAGATGAGAGTGTGGGGTTATCCTACTAGTGTGCTTTTATCAAATCTTGCTTTCAAGTATGAATCTGCTAAATCATCCTCAGTCCTGTTTGCACTCTAATGTTGGTATTTTAACCACTGACATTTAAGGGAACATAACTGTTCACCATGACATAATGATCTTTGGTGGCAAAACAAAGTGTGTGGTTCCCCAAAAGATTAAATGTTTAAATGTTGCTTGTCTTACTGAGTGAAGAATTGGTAGAAGCAAGGGAACCAGAAAGCTAGTTTCCCTGTTAAAATGGGAGCCGTGCTCTGTCCACACAGGAAAAAAGGATTAGGATGGCATGCAATGTAAACTTGGTTCCCTGCACTTCTTTGAAATTACAGAAAATCTCCCTTCTGTAATGTTGTGTTTCTGCCTAGAAAAGTGCTGAGAAGCTACAATGTCTAGGAGTTGCTTTGTCTTTATTTTTTCATACCTTTTGCTTAAGCACCTTTTGCTTAAGACTCCCACCCCCACCTCCCGGTGCCTCTCAGTGTTCTTCAAGCTTCTCAGGCACACCTGTTGGGGCTTCACAGAACTGAGAGACAAGCTGTCATACTTTTGGCTAAGATGTTTGGTCTTCTCCAAGTATTTTTAACCCAAATTGAAAGCCATGTACTGGAACACCTTTGGGCAGTTGTTGGTCAGGTATAAGCTGCCAAGGCAGAGTAAAGCAGAAAGCTGCCCCAAACTTAATCCTGAAACACTAATTAGTTACAGACAAAACTCCTTTCTTTTTCATATTGCTTGTGTGTATCAAAGCCAGGGAGAGTCATTCCTCTGGGGTTTTTGGAGGGAGGATCTGCTTCTATAAATGCTGAAAAGGAGGAAGCAAGTGCTAGCCCTATGTGGCTGTGGTTGTGATGTCTACAGTGCTGCTGTACAGTGTTTAGGGCTTTGCAGAGGACCATTACAAACATGTGTTCTAGCATTTTCATCTCAAAAATGGAGAGCAGAGGCCTAGACAGTGTCAGGGGTCTCAGTCCTCCTGCACTCTGTGAAGGCCCTAATATTGAGGGCCTGGCCAGTGCAGATGGCCATGGGGGCTGTTGCTGTCTTCTGTCATGTTCCTCTTTTGCTTTTAGGTTTTTAACAAAAGAACATGCTGCTATTAGTTTAGAGCTAAGGAAGTAAGACTTAAGACATAGCTCCACTCATCACATTTAGCAGGTCCCTTTTTATGCCTGCCATACAAGAAGACAATTTAGCAAGAGCCCAGAGGCTTCCCTCCAACCTGGTCTGTCTTCTGTGGAAGTATCAAATGCTTCCATGTGGTGTCTCTTGAATGCAGTTGGCCTCTCCTACTAGATTGTGCGCTCCTGGAGAGCAGAGTCCCCTCTGATCATGTTTGTGTTGTCTTCCTTTCTCTTCTGACACCTAATACAGTGCCTTGCACACAGAAACAATAAATGGCTGTTGACTAACAAGCTAATCTAATTGTATTGTTCTGTTGCTTTAGTCTGACTGTGGTGTCCTTTAATTCAGAGAAGCAGTAATGGAACAACATAATCAAAGCCTACCACTCTATTTCTTTTTCTTCAAGGCAGTTAACTTTAGAAGTCTTCTTTTTAAAAAGTGATTTATGTAAGAGTAACTTTCATTTGGCTGTTTAAATTGTTGTCGTGGACTTTCTGTCTGCTAACCTAGGCCTAGTCCTAGAAGCTTCTAGCCTCTGTACCATCTAACCTAGGCCTAGAATGTCTTCAGCCTCTGACACTTACTGCTTAATATAGTCACCATTTCTTATTCTTTCTGAACTCAAAGCTGGCTGGTTCAACTCAGCTGTCTGGCTCAAACTCCTTTCCCAGCTGACTTATTCAATCTGGCTTCTCCCTTGGCCCCTGAATTGCTGTGCTTGGCCTGAAACTAACTCCAGTAATCTTTTCTAGTCTTCTGGCTCCTTCTCATTCTCTGGCTTGTTCTGTCTTCACCCGAGTTCTCACTCTGTAACCTGTCTCTCTATTACATCCCCGTAAAACTGCCTCTTTTTTTTTTTTTTCTATGTTGCTACCTTAAGTAGCTTCCCTATTCTGTCAAATCCTAGTTGTATCCTATTCTGTCAAATCTCTGATTCGTCACATTTTCTGCCACTCAATTAGACATCACTTTCAAACATGGGTGCTTCCTTTTACAAATTAACTTTACCTTCATTGTTTGGAATTAAAGGCCAGTACCACCCCACCTGGACCTAAGCTATTCTTTACTCTCTACCAGGCTGGCCCTGGCTTTGAACTCAGATCTGCTTGCCTCTGTCTCCTGGATTAAAGGCATGTTTGTATTCCAGCTGGATCACACAGACCTAGAAGGTCTTTGGATGTGATCTTTGCCAGAGCAGCCATGTTCTGCATTAAAATTCCTTTACAGATTTATTTTCATTTTACTTGTATTGGTGTTTTGCGCATGTAAGTCTGTGTGAAGGTGTTGGATCCCATGCAACTGGGGTTATAAACAGTTGTTAGCTCTCATATGGGTGCTTGGAATTGAACCTCGGGTTCTCTGGAAGAGCAGCCAATGCTCTTAAATCCACTGAGCCATTTCACCAGCCCAATAACAGTAAACCCTAGAAGTACTGTAATACCGTCTTGATTTATAAGGGAGGCTGTTTTATTGGATTAACTTCAGACTGCTGAAATTAATTTTGCTTACAAGTAACATTTTATCAAAAGTTATGAATTATCTTGTACTAGGTATATTGTCTCTCTCCAATATCTTGATAAACTTGTTTTAATAATGCAGAAATAAACTGAACTGGGGTATGGCTCATTGTTAGTGCAACTTTCTGGCATGAGCAAGGCAATAGGTTCCATCTTCAGTACCAGAGAAGGGGAGAATTTGAAATTGTGTGTTTGCCGTCTAGGCTCAGCAACTGTAGGTTTTGTCTTTTTTTTTTTTAAGTTTTTCTTGCTTGCATGTGTGCGGTGCTCTTGAAAGCCAGAGGAAGGTGTCAGATCCCCTAGAAGTGGAGTTAGAGAAACTAGTGAGTACTGAGAATCAAACACGTTATCCAGAACAACTAGGCCTCTTTACTGCAGTCATCTCCCTCCTTAGCTTGCTTGTTTTATTTTTTCAGTTTTTCAAGATAGGGTTTCTCAGTGTAGCCTTGGCTATCCTAGACTTGATTTGTAGACCAGGCTGGCCTTAAACTCACACTGATCCATCTGCCTCTGCCTCCCTGAGTGCCGGGATTAAAGGCGTGGCAGTCTTATGTGACCTCAAGACTTCTTGTCTGTGTGGTCCAGCAGGAGTCCCAGCCTTAGAAGGTAATCGAAGGATCGCCCTGGTGCGGTATGAACCTGGGGTTGTGCATATGTTTGGCAGGCCCTCTACTACCGAGCTATACACCCCCCCGCCCTGGTATAGACAGTAATTGTTATACTATTCCATGGCTCTCCTAACATCTCTTCCTCTCAGCTCACTGCCCACGGCCTGTGGTATCAGCGTAGACCTGACCTCATCTTCAATCTGCTTTCCCTGAAACCACTTACTGTTGGCTGGCACTTGAACAAGTTTATTCCCAAAGCTTGCTTCAAAGTGATCATTTTCAAAGGAAGAGAACATGGATCCAGCTGTGGTTAGATCCCTTCTAGACCCTGATGACTGGAACTGATCTGCCCAGTGCCTGCTTATTCCAGACTGGATAGAACTGAACCTCATTAACTGCTAGGATTGCTGACCACAGAGATTGGTGGGACAAGGCTCATCCTCTGTAGCAAATCTGTATAGACTCCCCACCCCGCAGCCTGGGAGGGATGTGGATCTTACGGACAACTTTGTCGAGTGAGATCTCACCTTCCCTCTTGTTGAGGTGTCATTGCCCAGCACACCCAATGAGAGCTCATCAGCTAACTTCCAGGTGATTGTCTGCTTCCAATTTTACTAAGATTACAGGTAGACATAAGGCAAGTGCTTGTATGTGTTGAGCCACTGCCTCTGCACAGACTCTTAGTGCTGGGAACTAAACTCAGGGCTTCACATATGCTAGGCAAGTGCTTAATTGCTGATTCATACATTTGGACAATGTCTATAAAGGTTGTATTTCACTGCAGAGGTCAGGAGAGATGAGTTACAGGTGGTTGTGAGCCACGCCACCAAGTGGGCACTGAGAATTTAAACCTGGGTTGTCTTGAAGCACAGCCAGTGCTCTCCCAACCTCTGAACCATGTCTCTAGCTCCTCATCCTCTACTGCCCCCCCTCCCCCTTAAAAGTGTAACTCCCTGAGCAGCCCTGCCCCGCCTGGAACTTAGTATGGAGACTAGGATAGCCTTTATCACTCTTCAAACCTATCAGTTTTCTTACAGGACTTCTCAATTCAGTATCTGGTAGGATACTATTAGTTGCTTTCAGAGATGAGTGGCCTGGCTTTTGATAGGCTAAGGAACTTGTCTGAAGACTCTAGGAAACCCAAATCCCATGTCATTTAATTTTAATTTTTTTCCCAGTAGCCATCTGCAGACCAAGGGAAGACTATGGTATGACTACAAACATGAGCTTAGAGTTAGAGGTATGGTTTGAATCTCAGCTTCATGCCTGTTTCCCCTCCCCTGGGAATTAGTATCTGCCTTATAAACCTACTGTATTTCTATTATAACAAGTGTCTTATTCACAGGGACTGGAATATACTAAGTACTGTGAGTGTACTAACAGTTTGTCAGTAACTGTGTATCCCTCCTCAGTAACTAAGTAGATACACTGATACAATCAGTGGTCAGTCCCTCAAACTCTCTTGCTCCTACTTCAAATTTGTGTCATTACAGCCTGGTCTTGTGATGGTCAAACATCAACCACTGGATTGGTACCAGGATACTATATAACTATTTGAGGTATTAACAACAGAAATCAACCCTGTGGGGCTGAAAAGAAGGCTCAGCAGTAGTCCGGGCTTCTGTGTCCCTTGCATCGCACTCCTGAAGTTCCACTCCAGGGAGTCCACACCTTTTGACAGCAAGGATGTACCACACACAGAGGGCCATGTAGTTGCAGCTTTCTCTTTTCATGCAGGTCCTAATAATCAAACGGGTTATCAGGCCTGGCAATAACCACCTTTACCTGCTGAGCTATCTGAATGGTTCTTCTGAGAGATCTGAAAACTTGGTTTGAAAATCTGAAATCTCAGTTGACCCCTACTCCAAGCTGAGTCTCACAGGCACATCTATTTAAGTACAGGTTTAGAATACAAACTTATCCATGACTGGCTGCACAGTGGCCTTCAAGTACACTACAAATTGCTTCCTTAGACTCCATTCACAAACCTTAGGTCAAACTAGTCTTTTGAGATGTAACACAACAAGAATTACTTAATTACTCATTCTGTTTATTGAACTGAGAGAAGGGAATACAAAGGACTGGGCAAGTGCTGTGCACTGACATGGAAAAGGTGTAATTAAAATAAAATTTAAAAATCCCAGTAAAGCAAATCAAAGTTACTGTAATCTCAATCAAACAAAAAAAATTAAAGACATTTAATATACCACACATTTATAAAATAAATGTCAACCAAAAGGTGTCTTGTAAATAATTAGTAGAACAAGTGAAAATAAATACGAGACCTGAAGTTCTTATACTTTAATGAAATAATAAAACAAAGAAATTTAAACTACTAAATATAATCTGAGAGGCAGTTAAAAAAGCAAACCCCAAAGTTTAAGAACACAGTCCTCTGGAAACATCTTATAGCAGTCCACAGTTAACTGTTTCTCCATACCAACAGCTCTGTTAGCCACATCGCATCACAATGCCATATTATTTTCCATAGCTCAGAAATCTCCAAAATAACACCCAAGTTCTTTACATGATCTCTACAGCTTGGTTTATAAGCACATACATGCTTTTGTGATCTATTCCCCTCAAAACACACACACACACACACACACACACACACACACACACACACACGCAGGCAAGTACGTGCATGCGTACGCGCACACACACACTTTCAAAGAGACAATTAACATCTCCTCCTTCTGAGCCTAAAAATGTTATGATTTAATTCTAGCATATTGATCCTGATAATGTAAATGTCTTAGGTTAAAGATGGGGCACAATTTCACTCTTATAAAAATAGACAAGTATTGACCAAACTTTAAACTCGAGAGGGCACGAGACTTTCTGCACAAACGATGACCTCGAGGTTCTTTCTAGAGTGTGTATGAATCAAGTTTTCTTTCTCAAACATACATGCACACAATTTTTATTAACTTCATTAACTCCAGGCTGTCTGGGTAAGTAGACAGGGATGGGTTTGTACAGCTTGTTTCTGCAACTCTAGGGCAGCTACTGTAACAATAGCTCAACACTGTAAAGTTTAGATTAAGTCCACCCTGGTTTTACAAAGTGTAAATGCAAGTTCACTCTTTTAAGTTAGCAACTGAAGCGATCTGGTATGGTTCTGGAAATGGGGGGGGGGGGGTAATGCTTTGGCCAGCAACACAAAGGGAGAGTTGCTTAAGTCTAAGTGAGACATTAAAGTAAAATTGCTAGGTAAGAATATATTTTAAAAAATGGGACACAAAAGATAAAAGACAATTTTTTTTCCTCCCCATTCTTCTGCTGTAAAGTAAGTGACATGAGTATGTTCCCTTTCAAGAGATGTGCGATACATTTACCCACTGTGAGGCAGAGGGTCAGTTCTTGTTTGCAGGAACCAACATCCTAAAAAAGAAAATTTCGAGATGGGGAGGGGTGGGAAAGAAGAATTTTCTATTAATGCCACAGAATGCCAGTCGGGGCAGAGCATTCCTAATCAACTACTCTTGCAGAATTACTGCTTATGTTTTCTTTAAGGAATCAGTGACAAGATTGCTCTTTGATACTTTAATTTCTTATAGTCAGAGAATTCCCTTTTTCTTCTCCCACCCAATAAAACGGGACAATTTATGGGGACATTTGCAAATAAAATTCCCTGTTTTAACTACTTACCTGGGTTACTAGAACACATTTACCTGGCCAGGAAGAGCAAGAAAGTACAGCCGGCATGAATACTAATAGAATACACCCAAATATGAAGTTTTCTCACTTTCCCCAACTAATGCCCACTCTAATTCTTTTCATCACCACCCACAAACCAACCTCAGTGATCCCCAAATCCAACACTTTACCACTAAAAACCAGTTAGAGGAAAAAGACATTTAATTTCATTCTTGCTCTAGCCCTTAATCAATGCATTAACAACAAACATTTTAAGCACATGGAATTGAGCCTACTAACCTGATTTTTGGAGCCAAAATTCTCCACTATTTTGATCTATGTGCAAAAAGTATTGGTACTTTTCAGTTTATACATTGTTTTAGTATCTTGTGGTTGGCTTGAATTTTCTAAGCCTTTATGTAGTTTATCACATTGTCAGAGATTTTCACTTAGTAGCTACGGGTTAGAAAAATCCTGCCACCAGGTTCTTCCATCATAAACTCTAGGTTTCTTCACCATCTTTCCCACCTTTCTACCACAATCACTTCATGGCAAATATATGAAACAGACGCTCACAGCAAGTTGGCACATTGAAGTACCAGTATATACAGGAAGCTGTCAATTATGACAGGCCTGGAAACCAAACTCCCCTAGCTGCTACAAACACCTTTGCATAGTTGTAACTCCATTTTAACAGGAGTTATGTTCTTGTAAAATGTCCTTCACTTTCAGTGCAGTTTTACTTCCAAGTGTTTTTAACTACTTCAGAAGCACTGTGAAAACTCAGATCTAGGTGCGACTGGGTGCACTAGCAGATTGTGAGTGCCAAATTGCCCTGATGGGCACAATTACGAGAGTGTTAACATGCCATGTAGTACAATGTAACCACATCTGTATACAGCTGTGGAGTTCTATGCCCACATTATGTTAGTGATTGTTACTGTAGAGACTGGGGTGTATGTATTAATGGCTTCAGGGTCTATCAATCAAAATATGTTTTAACTGCACTGAGGTAAAGAGGAGTTGCCACTTAATTATATACAGTTATGAATGAAAATTTTTATTCAAGCTTAAAATGAAAGTAATTTTAGTCAAGAAAATAAAGTACCAGGTAAAAGGTAACATATTATTTTAACTTAGAGAAGTATCAAAACAGGATTTCTCTGCTTTTCTAAAGTGGTGGTCTCTGCAAAATGAAGCTTAAAGGAATCTTTTACATACCAACTTGATTAAAGAATCTGCTATGACCTGTCATTTCCTTACTATGAGCTTTGGGAGAATGAACACTATCTTAAGGCCAAATGTGTTTTCTCCCTTTTCCTGACTTTTCACTCCCTATGACCCCCTCCCCCCAAGAATGGAAAGATTCCTCAACACAAGCCTCTCACTTCTTTTAGGGTTCTGAAGGGGGATGATCATGGTGAGAATGCTATGGACTTAGCTTGGCCTCAAGGGCAAGTAGGTTACAAATTATTTTTCTTCACCAAGATCTTATGTTGGGAGTAATCCCACATCTTTTTCCAATAGCTGTGGTCACCCTGATTGTCCTCTATTGAAAAACAGGGAATTTCAAGGGAGACTGTTGGACCCAGCAGTTAAGACCCAGTTATGGGATGTAAGATACACCAAGAACATCAGGCTTACGTTAGATGTAAAGTCTTCAAAATGAGAAGACTTTTTTTCCCCCCATAAAGGAAACAATCCCTTAAATTAAGAGGGGAGGGAAAGACTGTCCACAGCACCAGTTTGAATGAGGTTCAGTATGGCAACATCTGAGAAGGAATCTTCTTTAATCCAAGTATCCCTTTATGTTGGACATCAAGGGCAATTAGGAAAAATGACTCAGGTTTTTAATTCCAGTTTACATATATGTTTGTAGCCTTCTGAATTCTTCTAAGATTTAACTACACTATAAATCCCCAAGTGGTCTATCTTCTGATCACTACTTTTGCTAGATCACACCAAAATGACTCCCAAGTCCAGAAGAACTTGGAACAAGCTTTCTTGAAAACCTGGACTGACGGCTGATGTACTTCTTCAATATCAGCTACTGATGTTCCTTCGAGAATAAAATAAAAAAGGGAACCTTCAAAGTATCTCTCTGGCTTTCCTGTGCCACGTCCTTGTGAGCACTGTCTGGCCATGCCGTGTCTCAGGTGGCACTCCACAAGAGCATCATTACACTGCGTATCTGAGTCACAGAGGAAGCTGTTTTCCAAGCTGGTTTAGATTCCAAGTGTATACAAATGAAGTCACTTTAATCCTATAAATACTTCTTAATTTATTTTTAAAAAATTGTGCTGTTAACCCTTTTACGGGGCAACAAGCTTTGTGAAAAGTACAAAACTTTTTGTCAAATGTAATATTGAGAGTGCTTTTGACATAGTTCACTGGTTTATCATCTGATCAGTATATACTGCGCAACGGGCAAGGCTAGAATCCATGAACCAAGCTGCAAAGATCTCAAGCTAAATAAGGCGGAAAGATTTGGAGAAACAAAAGAAAATTCTTTCCTGTCCAATGTATACTCTTCAGACTAATGAACTCTTCCTATCAAGCCTTCTAAACTGTTAAATAAAGTTTCCAAACAAGCATTTGAACTTCATTACACAGAAGAGCAACAAGAATGGTATCCCACCAGACAAAAGGCAGGAGGAAAAAATATATATACTGAGTTCAATGGGTAAGCCTGAATGTAGCACAGTTCTTCACAACCGATGGGGAATAATTCAACATGGTGTCCGACAACGTTCTAACGACGTGCTTCATCAACTGGTTACTATGAAGCAAGGTGTAAATGTTTGGCCCCAATCGGGCTTCAGAAATGGTTCTTTTTTCATGACGAGCATGTCTGTCCAGCTATCAATCATGTTTGTTTGCACCAAATCCCAAGCCATTAAAATACGACTAATTTTAAGTTAAACAGAAGTCGTCTGCTCCAAATTCGCCATCAACTATCCATGCTACTGCATTCCTCTGAATGAAGACAAGATGAAATGTGCACAGAGAAAAAGAAAGGGAGGGAAAGAAAAAAAAAAAAAAGATACCAGTTAGAAAGTTTCAAAATCTGCATCAAGAAATAACAGCAGAATAAGTAACAATAAACAAATTCTTGATACTTTCATAATCATTAAACAATGTATCCCCCTAAGTTTTTAGGTTCTATATTAAATGTAACCTCATGATTATTTCTCATGAATGGAGAAAAAGGAATGAATAATTATGTTAGAATCTCCTATTTCTATTTTAATTTTTTTTTCTTTCTTCTTTCTCAGGGTAGGGTAATTGAGACAGGGTCTCACCGTGTAGCTAGCTTTGGCTGGCCTGGCACTCACTACGTAGGTCATGCCTGTATTGAACTCACAGATCTATCAGCTCTTTGCCTCCTGAGTGCTGGGATTAAAGGCATGCTTGACAGAGATTCCTATTTTTAAAATTAACTATGTGATAGGTAATTAGAAAAAGAAAAATCCTTGGTAGTTTACAGCAAAAAAAGAAAACTCTGGTTGTAAAAGGGGGAGGCCCACATTCTAACCGTGTCCTCAACTCCTCCAGCCACTGATGCTCCAAGTCCACCATACCATCCAGGTCTATTTGGGAGCAATGAATGATCTTTATTAAGATATAGTTCACATACCATAAAAATAAACTCACTTAAAATGTTTCACGGTTTTAGTATATTCATAGTTTTTACAATATCAGTATATTAATTTTGGACCAATTTCACCATCTAGTAGCAATCACAAACATCCTTATTAAAAAAAAAAAAAAACTACTATGGACTGTGTGGATTCACTTATTTTTAGACCATTTCAATATAAAATGCAATCACAGCATGTGATATGGCTGACATATTGTTGTTTCTGCATATTGTTTTAAAAGTTCGTGCACCTGATATAGCATGTATGAATACTTCATCCTATTCCATTTATACACCCCAACACACAAACGAAAATCAGAAAGTAAGGCAATTAGCCTTGTAACATCACAAAAGATCAGCAACTTCTCTTTAAAATGAACTGAACTGAACTAGGAGCTACAGTGTTAAGAACAATGGCCCTCCTTGCAGAAGATACTAATTCAATCGTCAGCATGCACACAGTGGGTTCTTAAAGTCTGTAACTCCAGCCACAGGAAACCAGATGCCTCTTCTGGCCTTTGTAAGCACCACATTTAGTACACATTCACATTCAGGCAAAACACCCGTAACACATAGAAGTAAATTCATTTTATGAACTTACTGGGCTAGTAAGATGGCACCACGGGAAAAAGCACTAGTTTCTAAACTTGAAGACCTGAGTTCAATCAACAGAATCCACATGGGGGAAGAAAACCAACTCCAGCAAGCTCTTCACTGACCTCAACATATCAAATGCCTCTGCCACCCTCTTGCACACAATTATTAAATGTACAGACCTTTATATACATAGTTTTAATTATTTAAATGACATAAAGTACCTTATGTTACAGTCTTTCAACATTGTCTTTAACTCACTCATACTTTCAAATTCCTATTCTAAACAGATATAATTTAATTAGAAAAATAGTTTCATTGTGTGTGCATGAAGGCTCCAGAAGACCTCTCAAAAAGTAGTCCTTTTCTGTGAAATGAGAATGACCATCTTTGTAGGGTCAGAGCTACAGTGGTGTAGCATAATCGAAGTTGCTGAATTGGGCCTGATCTTGCAAACGAGTATTCAGTACACCCACTGAGGTGAATTATCACATTACCTAAACTCACCAGGTACAAAGTGCAATTCTTATCTTACTGTGGTGTGACACAGCACCCCAGTACTTCTTCCAATCACATTCTGAATGATTAATGAAATATAAAACTACAAATTACAGACACAGATCCTGAAAGATCAGATCTTAGAGAGCGGGCTCTGAAACCTAGACAGGACGACCTGAATAAAGATTTCTGTGGTTGGTTTCCTAGGACTCTCGGGTGGTGACCCAAAAGAAGAAGGGCTCCTAAGCCCCTACCTGGTATTGTCATGCTTTCGTCCTCATCTCTGGGGAGTTCTGTTTTGTTTTTGTTTGTTTATTTGTTTTTTGAGACAGGGTTTCTCTGTATAGATTTGGCTGTCTAGGAACTGAATCTGCAGACCAGGCTGGCCTCTAACTTAGAGATCTTCGTGCCTCTGCCTTAAAGTGGTCACCACCACCCCAGCCTCATTTGTGTTTTTCGTTTTTTTTAAAAGCTAACTCTAATAAAAAACATTAGTTAAAACTGAATGATTACTAAATCATTCAGGTGGGAGGCTTTATAAGAGTGTTTGCTACTCTTGCAGAGGACCAGCATTTGGTTCCCAGCAGGCAAATCAAGCAACACACACACACACACACACACACACACACACACACACACACCAAAAACAAGAACTATTTAGGTGGAACACACGGAACAAAACATTCTGTAAATAAGTTATTTCCTTCTAAAACGAGACATTTTTACTTTTTCTCTTTGAGGGAAAAAAAGATATTTACATAAAATTTATTACTTCTCTCTAGTACTATTATATTTAATCAAGAATTTGTCCTCATCTGTTAGCTTTATGCCTTTCTTCATCTTCAAGTATCAAGGTGGTGGGAAAAACCTTCCAGACCTAGACTTGCCGAAATGGCAGCATTCAACAAGTTAACGAGGTCTGCCATATTTTGGTTCCTTCCCTATAAAATGAAAATAAAAATGTTTCTCTTACAAGACCATGAACATACGTGAGAGCAAATACACTCTTGAGCATGCTACTTGGCACATAGGCAGCACAGGAAATTTCAGTTTCTTCCTCTTTTCCTCACCATCACAGTTCATGTTAGTATGCTATACAGTGCTAACATATTAGGAAAACCCCGAAGTGATGATCATTAAAACTAAAGTTTCTCAACTTTTATACATCGGTTAGTTCTCATGTATATAAAATGTTTCATGTAATATCACACTTACACAGCATGATGAAACGTTTTAATAGGATTTGTATGTACATGGATACAAGTGCATGCACGTAGGCGGTAAGATATGTGGAGGTCAGGAGACAACCTTGGGTGTCAGTCCCTGCCTCACAGCTCAAGGAAAAAAATCTCTCTTGTTCTCTGCTGCCCACGCCTGCTTAGCTGACCTGACAGAGTCTGGGATTCTATGTGTTTACCTACCATGTGACAAAAAAGGAAAGGGAACAGAGATTCACACTGCTATAGTCCCGCACTACATGGGTTCTGGGGTCCAAACTAAGTCTGCACACCTATGTGGGAAGCACTAACCACTGACCCACATCTGAACCCAAAGATCTTTAAAGTAATTATTACTATAGCTAACTTGATGCAAATGAGGTAGCACATTCTATCTTGCTTCACTGCCTCTCCAAACTCAGAAATAAAAACCTAATCCCAGATCTTTAAAACTCTTTCTATAAAGTGAGATAGAAGAAATTAACAAACAAAACAAAAAAAGATATCATATTCTATTTAAATTGTTATGTACGAGTTCTGTTAACTCTGCAATGTTTTTTCTGGAGAAAACAAGGACTGTTACGTGGCCTTACCTTCAATATTCTGGTGGTCTATAAAAGGTGCTGGTCCCCATATTCTAACAGTGCCATCATCTGAGGCACTGGCCATCATGGATGGAATCTGTGGGTTCCAGCTAACACAATTCACTGTGCGCGTGTGCCCTGTCAGCTCCGCAATTGGCAGTTCGCTCCGTTTGTGCCAGATGTAAACCTTGTGATCTGAATGTAAAGCAATTCAGAGAAATGTTAAGAAAGCTGTGTTATTAATAAAATCACTGACCATACACACAGGATTCTTCAACATTACAACTTACAGGGATAAAAAAAAAAAAAAGAAAATATGGATAGTTTAATACATTTTTTGAAGAACTATGTTAATAGATTATACTTTTTTTTTTTTTCTGTTCAAGGTAACTAGCTCTAAAACCACAAAAACATCTATTTGCAATAGCCTGTCCATACATTGCTAGCGAATAGTTAAAATCTGGGGCAAGATGACTCAGCAGTTAAGAGTGCTTACTGCTCTTGTAGAGGACCAGAGTTCGAGTCCCAAGCACCTATGTAAGGTGGCCCCTCTTCTGGCCTCTGCACTCACATTCATGCATGCACGCACAGACACACACGGACACACAAGGCAAAAAATAATTGTGACGAAGATATCTGAACAGAGATGATAATACATTCTGTGGAGATATTAGGTGACAGAAAGAAACATAAACAAAAAAAAACCCCCCAAAAACCCAAGGTATCCAAACTGAAAAACAGCAAATAATGAAAACCTTTATTGAATGAAAAATAGTATAAAACCTTTATTGGGAGCTTACAAAGTACTAAATATTTCGTATGTGAAATGAAATCCTCACCATGCTACGAGGTGGTACTATGCTTCTCCATGCTGCACAGACGCTGACTGAAGTCCAGTCAACTCTTCTGATCTACAATGCAGTTAGGCCTCCTAACTGTGGCCCTGCTAGGGACTACTGCAGACAACCCCCTTCTATCTGTGCCGTGTATATAGTTTCCAGAAGATGATAAGCTCTTAAACTGATCATAAAGTTAAATCCATTTCACCTCAGGGATACACAAATTAGTAGATGATGGTCTAAGCTAGAGCAGAATTCCAGGCTAAAGCAGCTGTTTACTATGACAATTTACCGGTCAACCAAGGGCTCAGTGTGCTGCCTCTGCATATGAAGTGCTGGAACCCATGGGCACCACCACGCCTGCCAATTAGCCGTATGTCAACAAAAGAGCACAGGCTTGGGAAAGTGTGATGACAGATACACAGCTTTGATTCCAGAACATGGGAGGTGGGAAGATGTCTGTGAGCTCTGGTTCATGTGAACACATGTTCAAGAAGAATATTTACTGATGAGGCAGCAAAAGTAGGATATGCGGCCGTCAAAGTCAGAACATGGTATGCTGTAGGATGAGCATGTCCCGCCAAGTATACTGCTTATCTAGAAACAGTAGTTCTTCCTTTTTTCTTTCTTGGAAACAGTCTCATGTAGCCCAAGCAATCTCAAACTCACCACTAGCAGAAGATGACATTGAACTTCTGACCTCCTGCCTGTACCTAGTGCTGTGATTACAGGTGTGAGCCACGAGAACGGTTTGTGTGTGAGGTTCGTTTTGTATGCCGGCAAGCACAACACCAACTGAGCCGTATCAAGTCCCTCCTTTTCCTATATAATGTTGGGGTTCTGATATAATGTCTCCCCCCGCCCTCGCCCCTCTGGGTAGCCCTGGCTCTCCTGAAACTCACTCGGTAGGCCAGGCTGATCTCAAACTCATGGAAATCTGCCTGCCTCTGCCTCCACCTTCAAAATTCTAGGGGTTCAAGGCATGAGCCACTACAACCAGCAAACCTGTTACCAATCTTTAAAAACTATCAGTCCCACGGGAAAAAAAGCCTTATAAGGGCTCAGCCACTGAACAATAAGCAGCTTGAGGCCCTGGAATACATCACCAACAACACAAAGGAAAATAAACAAGCAACCAAAAACAAAAACAACAAAATAACAAAAACATTAAGGATTCAAGCCACTCCTCAAAAGGTAGTATTTGGATAATCAACCAAAATATTTAATCTCATATCTATACATTCTGAGAAACATGGCTACCATGAAAAACTGGGAGAGATTTAAAGATCTTTAAACTTGTCAAGCTATGTGAATGAATAGGAACAGAAATACTATACCTTCACTGCCACTAGCGATGAAGTCTTCATTATGGCCTCCAAAACATGAATGAATTGTATAAAACCCTTGTGTAACACCTTGATACTTCCTTACTAAAACTCTGTCTTGCAAGTCCCATAAGTGAACTCCCTATAGGAAAAAAAAAAAAAAAAAAAAAGGTTTTGTTGCTGTTGTTTTTTGAGACAGGGTCTTTATATAGCCTGGCTGATTCTGCTTCCTCTATGTGGCTTTTTTTTTTTTTTGGGTTGTTGTTGTTTTTAAAAGACAATCTCAAATCTCACTGTATGCCTTGGGCTCCCCTGAAACTGATAAATCTTCCCAAATTCTTTCTTTTCTTCCTTCCTTGTCCCACCCTCACCCCCTTCTTGGTTACAAGAGTTTCTCTGTATGTAGCCCTGGCTGTCTTGGGACTTGCTCTGTAGACTAGGCTGGCCGAAATTCCCCTGTCTCCATTTCCCTAGTGCTGGTATGAAAAGTGTTCACCACTACACCTGGCCCTCCCAAGTTCTTAAGAATACAGGCTTTTTTAAAGGACAGAGACTATCTAGCCAAGTGGTTCAACCTCCCTTAATGCTGTGGGCCTTTTACTGTAGTTCGTTGTGTTGTGGTGACCTCCAACAGGAAATTATTAACTGTAATTTTGCTACTGTTATGATCGTAAAGTAAATATCTAATAGGCAGGCTATCTGATAGGTGGCCCAATGAAAGAGTCATTTGAAACCATAGGTTGAGAACCACTGATCTAGCCCCGGGTGGCTTGGACCTGCTATGAAGAACAGGCTGCTCTTAAATTCACAGAAAAGGCCCATCAATTTCTGGGACAAAGGCATGGTTTACCATACCCAATCTCAGAATTTACAATAATTTGTTAATATTCCTTTGCCCATTAGAGCATTTTCATTTCCTATTTGTGCAAATGCTAGTATTTCAATTAACTTATAGCTAATCCCTACACATTTAAACACTAAACACACATATTTAACATTCTTACTAAAACAGAAAGAAACCTTTACTAATCTGAATTTTTCTAAAAGTTTTAAAAAATAAACAAACAAAAACAAAAAACATACCTGAGTTGCTACATTTAACAAAGCTAATCGGCCATTTTTTGAAATTGTAAATGACATAATAGGATGATCTTCCTGTACTCTGTAATCAGAAATAATTTGTCAGGAATATCAAATGAAGAGTCAAAAATTTCAAGTTATGAGAGACTACAAAATACTATAGCTTAAATGACATCTTTGCCTTACATGTTAATCAAAATGAGTTAACAAGTACCACCTAAATACGAATTCAAATAACCAATCAAAATAAAAAACAAAAAAATTGCTTTTCTGAAAAAGCCCAAATACATACATTTTGTTATAAATTACAGCCTTATTTATTTATTTATTTATCTATCTATCTATCTATCTATTTATTTATTCATTTATTTATTTTTTGTGGTTTTTCAAGACAGATTTCTCTGTGTAGCCCTGGCTGTCCTAGAACTCACTTTGTAGACCAGGCTGGCCTTAAACTCACAGAGATCCGCCTGTCTCTGCCTCCCCAGCTCTAGGACTAAGGGGGTACACCATGATGCCTGGCTAAATTAGACAATTTCTGATGGAAACAAAATAATGGTTACATGTTTCTATCTGTAAGGTCCTCGAAGTTGTAGCCCCGGATTCTCTGGTGTGTGTCAGAAGCCAGTACAGTCTTCCCATCACTCAAGCACCATAGGCACTGCACTCTCACCCCCTCCCAGGAGTCCAAAAGATTTCCATCCAGGTCCTAAGCAGAAAAGAAATACAATAAACAAAAACCACTGAGAAAACAGACCTGAAAGAAATGCTTGGCAAGTCCTTATGAGAACAGCTCGACAAGCACCTTAACTGGTGGGGCTTTGACTACAGGTCTGTACTGGAACACTATGACATGCAAAGATGAGATATGAAAAACAAGAACTAAGAATTAATAGTTTATAACCTGCTACAATAAACAGCTATAAATTCCATAAGCGTCATCTTATTTCAAAGTAGCAACTTTCATCACCTACCCAAGGAGATATTGTAATTGGAATGTCAGTGAGCTGCCCTTGAAGGATATTAAATGACTTACCCAGAAGAGGTCTGTTGCATAGCCTATTAAAAATGTGTTTTATTCCATAAAGACCAACTATAGAGTTTATCTAAATAAGCACCTAACTGAAGAGATGCAGTAAGAAAAAAAAAATTACAAATAATCTGAAAACACCTATTATAACCATATGACTTTAAATGACTGAAATATGTTGTCAGCAGTCATCACTTTTTTTTCGATAATTTATTTAATTTTATTTTATGTACATTAGTGTGATGATGTCAGATCCCTTGGAACTGCAGTTACAGACAGTTGTGAGCTGCCATATGGGTGCTGGGAATTGAACCTGAGTCCTTTGGAAGAGCAGACAGTGCTCTTAACCACTAGCCATCTCTCCAGCCTTCCCCATCATCACTTTTATTTACGGGTTAATTTTTAAAATTGTGTGCCCATGTGAGGGTGTGTGCGCATGTACAAGGGTACACTGGACCCTCTGAGAGCAGAGTTAGAGGTAGTTGACCCACTCAACACGGGTGCTGGGAAGCCACCCTGAGTCCTGCAGAAGGGAACTGCATGCTCAACTGCTAAGCCATCCTTTCGGCCCCAGCATTGAATGTTTTTACTTCTATTTAGTCTAGTCATCAAATTCAGCGTTCTTGTATTTGTTGTTGTCACACACAAGGTCTCATATATCCCAGGCTGAATGTGCAGCCAAGGAGGACCTTGAACTGGTCCTATTGTCTCTACCTCCCAAGTGCTGGAATTATGGTGTGTACCTCAATGCACAGTTTTACTGAGCTCCAGGGAGCAAACTAGAAGCTGTATATGCTAGCCAGACCTTCTTCTAACTGAGCTCAGTCCTACAGTTATTGTTTATTTCTTGAGATGGGGGTCTCACTTTTTAGTCCAGGCTGGTATGGAACTCACTATAGGCCAGCTACCCTTTAACTCTTTGCAATTCTCTTGCCTCAGCCTCCCAAGCTCAGGGATTATATGCACAGCCCACCAAGCCTGGCTAGCAGTATTTTGCTTAAGAAGGCCTAAAACCACGCAAAAGAAAATTGCTAAACTTTTCAGCCCTATAAATTAGTACCTTTGTTTTTGAGACAGGGTCTCACTATGTAGTCCTGGCTGGCCTAGAACTCAGAAATCCATTTGCCTCTGCCTCCCAAATGCTGGGATTATAGCCACCATGCCTAGCTAATTCTACACTTCTCATGAATACCTAAAGTGGGAGAAAAGAGAAAAGGTAACATAAATTCTATTAAATATTCATTTAAGAGAATGGTAAAACAGGTTTTCATATAATATGTGCCAAGTGAATCTGCAAATTTATTTTATCTTCATCTGTTGTTTTTTTCTTTTTGAGATGGGTCTTGCTATGTAGCTTTGGCTAGCCTGTAGAATAGTAGAGATTTGTCTATCTCTACTAATCAAGTACTGTGATTTAAAGCAGATGCCACCATACCTGACAACTGTAAATTTAAAGCAATCATTAGAAACAAAGAAATAAAAAAAAAAAAAAAAAAAAAAAAAAAAAAAAAAAAAAAAAAAAAAAATAAAAAAAAAAAAAAAAAAAAAAAAAAAAAAAAAAAAAAAAAAAAAAAACATTTCAATGTACTTTTAAACAGGCAGATACTGACTGGCAAGAAGGCAGGGACTCAATACTTACACACTGATAGAACTGCCCACGCTGACCTCCTGTCACAAAGCGTTTCCCATCTGGATTCCAGGCTACACTGGTCAAACTGTCTTCATGAGATTGGCTCATTTTTGTTCTTAATTCTCCCGTCTATAATGAAATAATACTGTAGATAAGATGTTAAGATTCCTCTCTAAGGGGTATATGTAAAGAAAGAAAAGGCTGGAAAGGAAGAGAGGGGAAAAGGAAGGAGAAGGAAAAAGGAGAAAGGAAGGTAATGGGGGTATTTTCCTAATCAGAGAAACATAATTTGACGGCCTCACCAGAAACAAGATTATAGCACTTAAAGAAAAATTAAGAAGTTCTGATATGACGAAATAAGGTTTAATAAATTTCTCATTTCAAACGAATTGAATTCATAAACTAACGTACTTTTTCACAATCAAGATAATGAAAAAGCCACAGCTACACACCTAAATCCTTCTAAGCTTCCCTCAGTCCAAAATTCCTTTGAAGTTTATCCTAAAACTACAGTTAATGCAATAAGCAATTCTTTAAGAACACAATGGGTAGTAAAACTATGCCCTTAAAACATGCTAAGGACAATTTTAATTATGCTAAATTTCATATTCAAATGTTCACGATACGGCAAGATAGGAAAAGACTACTTTTTTCTAATATGTAACTATTTCAATTAAAAGCAGAACAAAGAAAATAAATCTCTGTACTGTTTAGCATAGCATTCTACAAAGCTTCCATTTAAGTAAGATTGTTTAGCTGCTTAAACCTCAGACATCCTCCTGTTACATGTTCTAAGTTATTCAACTTAGGAGACATTACACATACCATTTAATCTAGTCTTGTTCCATTTTGTTCAGGGATTAGAAACAGGATCTGAGAGGTAATAGCTGCCCTTGGTATAATAAAAAGTACATGGGCATAATTTTCCTGTGAGAAATGGGTAATCAAAAGTAAAAATAGTGAAAACAAAGGGTATGATTAGGTACCTGGGGCCAAGTTATAAAGGCACAAGAGGCACAAAGTAGAAAACTAGATGTCTCCCTTATATGAAAAGAACAACAAAAACCAGAATAAAATAAAACACCCAATTCAACATCTAAATCCTTCCCCAATCTCAGCCACTTAATTACCGTTGTAGTCACTTGACCAAAACAGTTAAAAGTTTAAATACAAATACAAAAAACACCCCAACCTTGGGTGCTTACTTTTAACAAGTATGTTAAAACAGTGAGTTCTGGGGGAGCAATGTTTTCCTTCTATTATGCCCAGAACAGTGAGTACAGGAGGTCATTTGATTAGAAACCTATTTTAAAACATAAACAGCCTTCGGACTTCTTAAGGCTTCTGACTTCTAAGAAAAGCCTTAACTTATCAAGCAGTGCATAGAGACAGTTATACCTTAACAACCACTGCCCAGAAACTAAACCTGAGTCACGTACAGACCAGTACTGGTACAAGTGCCAGTCATCCTGTCCCTAGTAGGACTATATATAGCTACTGCAAAAGAGGAAAAAGATTTAATGGAAAAAAAAAAAAAAAAAAGTCATTTAGATCAGATTCAATTTGTGCTATTCTGTGTTTTGCCATTTCCCTAACCCAGTCCCAAATATAACGGTGGTTAACTGCTGGCTTGATACAAATAGCATATCAAAGATAATTCTGGAACAAAATGAGACTTGGGTTATGTATTAGAAAATAATAGTTAGGGGATAGAGATCGCTCACCCATTAAGAGCACTTATTGCTCTTCCAGAAGAGCAGGGTTTGGTTCCTAGCATCCTCATGGTGATTTACAACCATCAGTAACCTCAGTTCCAGGGGATCTGATGCTTTCTCCAACCTCACAGGCACCAGGCACACATATGGTGCGTATACATCCACACAAGGAAAAAGTTTATACACATAAAATAATGTCATGCAGGATAATGTTATTTTTGAGGATACATGCTTGAATACTTAGGGATTACAGAGTAAAGTAAAAGTATTTACTTTTAAATACTTTGGATCTGGATGTTTAAGTATATATGTTTTATGTACATATGTACACATTTAATATCACTATCAAGTTCAGGGTGGTGGGCACATATGTGATTACTATACCATCGTTCTTTGTCTTCTTTTTGGAGACATGCTGGTCTCCAACTTGTATGCAGGTGAGGATGACTGAACTCTCGCCCCTGTCTCTCAGATAGGATTACAGGCATGCACTATCTCAAGCAGCTACACTATTCTTACAACTTTGCTGCTGCTCAGGTTGGGCCACTCACTACAAAGGTCACGTGGGCCTCAGCATCACAACAGTATTCCTTGCCTCAGATTCACAGGTGGATTATAGGTAGGAGACACTATGTCTTGCTTAATTTTTAGGATTTTTCTATCTTCTGGAGCTGGAGTTCTGGCATTTGTGTCGTGCTTGATTTTGTGCGGGCACCAAACTCGGGTCTCCTCTGAAAGAGCAGTGTTTGCTCTTAACCATCCCTTCAGCCTCTCAAATTTCTAATATCTGAAAATTCTCTTCAAAACTTGGTGTAAGGAAAGGAAAGAGGAGTAGTAAGAAAACCTTACCCAAACAGCATTAGAAGTCTGTGCCTCAATCGCAGCTACATCTTAGTATTCACTGTGTTCTTCATGCCTCCATGCTACCACCTAAGTCATTTCTGTGGGGTATTATTATTATTATTGTTTTTTAATTATAGTCCCAGCTGTCCTGGAGCTTGCTATGTAAACCAGGTGGCCCTGAACTTAGAGATCCTCCTACCTCTGTTTTCCAGTCTTGTATCAACAGTTACTAGACTGAAAATCCCATCCCATCAAGTTTCACTTTTATACTCAAACCACAGTTGTCATTCTTTTATTCAGAGAGTTTAAATTTGGGTTTTCAAAAACATGTTAAACAGAGTGAACCTAATGCCAAGTTTTTCTAAGACAAGAACATAGATTAAACTTTAAGTTAGAAACAGTAATATAATAAAAGTATGTTCTTAGAACATTCTTTAGTTGTACTAAACTAGCTCAGACTACTAAATGTAGGTTAAGAGATAGTGTACTTGTCATCAAAATGGGAAATTTTATTTGGCAGATACTTTATTCTTGAAGGGTTAGACTTCATGCAGAGTGATGAAAACAAATCTCTTTTCTGATTCAACAGTATAATTTTCACTGAACAAAGCAAAGCATGCTGGAATGCTCACTGACCATCCTTTAATAAATTAAACTTTACTATCCAGCATATATTTAAATTTATAAATCTCAACACCCGCATTATAAACACTTGAAGTACTATTTAAACGGTTCTGCTGTATAAACTAAGAATAAAGTTGTTTTGTTTTTTTTAAAAAAACAGTCTGTGTAGCCCTGGCTATCCTGGCATGCACTCTGCAGACGAAACTGGCCTCAGAGATACGCCTGCCTCTGCCTCCTAAGTGCTGGGATTAAAGGCATGGGCTACTACATTAGCTAAGAATAAAGTGTTGACAAATATGTAGGTTGGACTTAAACCAAGGATAGAACTCGCTCACTTGTACATTCCAAAGCCAAAGCTCAGAGCAGTCATCTGGACCACAAGCAACAAGGTAGCTGTCATCTGGACTCCACGCAATGTAAGAGACACCATAGGCATGTCCTTCTAATGTTTTAAGCAGTTTTAGCAGATGCGTATCCTAAAAAAAAAAACAAAATAGACAACTCAGTTAACTCCCATCCCTAAAAGCTACCATTTTCTAGCACTAGAACTTAAGTACATAGATGTTCTCACTTATTCTGAGACCTTTCTATGCCAATCCAGCTTAAGCTCAGGCAGCTTGCTCCACAGAGATTCGCTCACACCTATTAATCACCTACTCTACAGAGGATATTGTGTACTGAGAAGGAATATGAAACTTGTCACAGAACCTACCCTTAGGAAATTTGAAAGGAACTGAAATGAAAGTAAATATGCACACCAAAAACTACTTTTTAAACATCTGAATAACTTCACTGACAAACAGAAAATACATCCTCTTAAGTTTAAATGTATTCAGTCTTGAAAAACCACCATTATCTAATTTTATAACATTTTTATCATCACCCCTAAAGAAATCCCTTATCTTTTAGTAATCATTTCTCTCCCTGCAGTTCTCAGAAACCACTACTTTGTTTTTTATTGATCTATCTATTCTGGGTAGTTCATTTAAGTGAAATTAAACATGATACAATCTCTGGTAGTTGGCAGCTTCATTCATTCCAATGTCTCTGTTCAAGCTATAGGGTATCTAATTTTATTAAGTAATATTCCAGTTTCACACTTTGTTCATTTGACTTTTACCTTTTTCTGTGGACTTTTGTTTTTTTCTTTTTTTGAGACAGGGTTTCTCTGTGTAGCCTTGGCTGTCCTGGAACTAACTATGTAAACCAGGATGGCTGTGAACCCAGAGATCTGAAGTGCTGGGTTTAAAGGTCTATACTGCCACCACCCGGCCTGTTTTCAATTTCTCTAAGTATGTACACAACAACAGAATTCCTGGATCATTTGCTGTCTACTACTTTAAAACTGCCCAGCTTTTCCACGTGACTGCATCATACTACACTTCCACTAACAAATCAACATCAACCCTACTTACGAATATTCATCTACCCCACTAAGTCTCTTATCATCAATAATGATATCAATACAATATCATTAATGACAACATAACCACCCAGGGAAGCAAATGGGAGTTTTCGGGAGATTAAGAAATCTGTGTTTGGGGCTTCCTGACTCTAAGGCTGTATATACAATGCAAATGGGTAAGTGCCGAACAGCTGACATGTTCACTTCACAGTAACAATTCAATTTTATATAGTCATGTAAAAATGCCAATTTAGGGAATATGTAACAAAACATAAAGTGTTAAGGAGAGGGTGGGAACAGATATACTGATGAAGAACCAGAAGGAAAAGACTCAAGAAACACAAAATAAGCTAAGCCAGCAGTTACACACACACACACAAGTCAGAACTAAAGAGAAGAGAGGAGGATACTCTGAATGATGCTCTAGGTTCAATCCCCAACACTTTGGGGTGGGACAGAGAACAAACTCCAAGCTTCTGTTTTAAGAAGTAAAAAGAAAATAAAGCAAATTAAAAAAAAAAAATCTAGTAATATGTTTTAGGTATTGGACTAGAGCTACTGAGCCCAACTCAAAAATATATTAAGATTTACTTTTACTTATGTGTTTGTTGGGGTGAGAGTGGGTGCAGAAGTCAGAAAAGGGTGTTGGGTCCATTGGAGCTGGAGTAACATGCAGTTTTGAGTGGTCTGAATGGCCTGATATTGGTGCTGGGAACTGAACTGGGGTCCTCTGGAAGATCAGGAAACGCTCTTAGTCCCGGGCCATCTCTCTAGCCCCTTGAGCCTGATTTTAAGCCTGGGATAGGAAGAATCCACGTGATGTACTATAAGCAACTAGAGACCGGTCTGAAACTAGTCTGATAAAATTAAAATCTCCTAGCTCCAGAAATGGAACTGTGAAGTAGATTGTTCATTACCCTGTTTATTCATAGGCCCCTAAATCTCTCTTTCATGACAGATTAGTCTAACCCAGGATCATGAGAAAATCAAACATTTAACAACACAACTTCTGACCTCTCTGAGGTGCTAAGAGGCATCACATATCTGAAGCTGATCAACAATAGTTCACACTGGCTTGCATAGTCTTTTTTGATTAAAGAACGAAATCTGGACAAAACAGTACTCCAGATAAACATAAAGATTTGCTTCTAAATTAAAACACCCCCTGTTGTTGATTTTCCCCCAAGAACAGGGTCAACTTCTCAAATAGTATTTGAAAAGTACTACCATATCAAGAGTTAATCAGTCTCAGAGTACTTTGTATACACAGCCATCTAAAAATCACCCTCACATTTCAGATTGTAATCTATGCATTAATTCTGCATTTCTAAGTTAATATGGTCAAGAAAAAAAAAATCCTTACAATTAATACCTATTACATTCTGCATACCAGTATTTCAAGAAAAACTCTGGGAAACACTGGCATACAAATCTAAACTCCTCAGCAAAAGACACAAAAGATTTGCTTTACTAAGTTCACCTCCTGGTCTCTCAAAAGGCACTAGGCTGTTCCTAACCAGTTTTGCCTAAGTAGTTCTTTAACCTTTCACCTAAAATCTTTTCTTGGTTTCCTTAGCTTTCTAGACATAACAACAACTCTTTTAAACTCCCACAGTCCTTTATAGACTAATCAGGGCTTATTCTCTTATGTTCAGTTGCCTAGATTTTAAAAAAACCTGGCATACAATAGGCATTTTATATTGGCTAAAATGAAGTGGGCATCTCACACACAGCTGCTGGAAAAACAAATGTAATAAAACCCCTTAGAATTCAGAGGCCATGAGTTGATCCCAAACTTTTCTAGTGCCATTTGCAACAACTTAAATTATTTAGAAGTATTCCTCCTACCAGAATACCCTTTTGTCTCCACATAGTTCTATTAAGGTACTTCTACCTATAAGGCTCCCTTAAAGCCCCATAATAATTCAATTGAATATAAACATAATGCTTATTTAATTGCATTTTATTCCTTTGATGGGGTTTTTTTTTTTTTTTTTTTTTATTATGTATACAATGTTCTGTCTGCATGTACAGAGAAGTCACCAGATCTCATTATGGTTGTGAGCCACTATGTGGTTGCTGGGAATTGAACTCAGGACCTCTAAAAGAGCAGCCAGTGTTCTTAACCTCTGAGCCATCTCTCCATCGGGGTTCTTATTCTTAGCCTGTCATCTAGAAGAAAGTTTCCATGGACAGAAGCAAGGTCTTGGATAAGCAGTGCCTGAAATTCAGTATTTCCTTTCATCTTTTGTTGTTGTTTTTGAGACAGGGTTTCTCTGTGTAGCCCAGGCTGGCCTCAGCTTCCTGAGTGCTGGAGCTAACCCCATGTTCAAGCACCACCCAGCTTTCTTCCATCTTGAATGTAGGGAAATTAACCAAGTTAATGTCTTAGTAACTGCGGTGATGAATTATTATAAAGCTATCTCTTACCTTCTGCTGGACCTCACAGCCAAAGTTAATCACACACCTTGAGGTCACTCACAACTGCGACTCTACTCAACCTGTTTGTTTAAGCTGCCTTTAAAAGAACAATGTAGCAAGGTGTGGTAGCACATGCCTTTAATCCCATGACTCCCGAGGAAGAGGCAGGTGGATCTCTCCAGTTAGAGGCCAGCCAGGGCTACACAGACAGCCTGTCTCAAAAACCAAAACCAAAACCAAAACCAAAAACCAACCAACCAACCAACCAACCAAACCAAAAAGAAGAAAACAATATAAACAACCAACCTTACCTGCCTTGCCTTGGATTTCCCAACCTAAGAGAATGTATAGCTGCAATTTTAAGTTATGTAAGCTTCCATGCCCAGACCCAAAGTAATGCGTTTGTGTATGTATGCTGTGATAATCATTTGCTGAAAACAGGATGAAAGTGACCTATTAACATAAATATCTACTATAAATGCTGGAAACAACATACGGAAATTACTTGATAGCATTTGTTTGTTGTCTGGGTCAGTTGGAGTCAGAAAAAGAAAGCAAGCAACAATTAGGAAAGCTGGGAACAGTAGTGCACGCCTGTAATCCCAGGCAGATCTCTGTGAATTCCTGGCCAGCCTGATCTACAAATGGAGTCCAGAATAGCCAAAGCTACGCACACATACACACACACTGTCTCAAAAAAAAAAAAAAAAAAAAAAAAAAAAGAAAGTTTTTTGTAAAAATATCTATTCTTCTGTTCCTTCCCCATGTGATGCTTTTTGTGCTGGTCATAAAAAAACACAAAAAGGCAAAAGCCCTTTTTGGGAACAGGGACAGACACACAAAACAACATTGAGGCTGATTCAGACTCACACAGAAGACTGGGACTCAAGGGAGAGAGAGAAGTAAAGAATTAATATCTGGGCTCATTGTTGGTTAAATTACCCTGAGGAAAAATGCTTATTATTTTTGTTCCTTAATGGACACCAATGAATTATCTGTGACTGAGTTTATCACTAATTCATTTAAACAGACACAGTATACTACAGTACAAAGAGTTATTAGGTAGTACAGTAGATAACAAAATATCCCTTAAAAGAAAAATTTCAAATTATTTCATGACTGCTGCAGATACCATACAATGTTATTTGTTACTAATTCAGAATGCTGACAGTCATTATCTGCTACAAAAACTATTTAATGTTAATAAAGAAAATATTAGGGCTGGAGAGGTGGATTGCTCTTCCAGAGGTCCCGAGTTCAATTCCCAGCAACCACATGGTAGCTCAGAACCATCTGTAATGAGATTTGGTGTCCTCTTCTGTCATGCAGGCATACACGCAAATAATGTTCATATATATAAATAAATCTTTAAAGAAAATAAAAGAAATATCATATATCATACATATTCATTCTATGTTGAGAGCCTACACTTCACTTCAATACTTAGGTTCCTTAAGTAATTAGCATAATTTTATACATATATGTGTAAATTTTATATATATATATATATGTAAGTAGATAAATAGATGGACAGATAGGCACATTGGCTATGTATTTTGGCTTGTGTATTTAACAGTACCATTTTAGGACAACCAATAAGTTTTTTAAATTGTTAACTAGGCATTGTAATACAAGAAAAGACAGACCTCCTTATTTGTAGCAAAGAATGCTGCGGTTTCCTGCCACCAATTACAGTATATCATAGGTAAGCACTAAAGTAGTACCTGTCTTAAATTTCTATTTTTCCTTCTATGGTGCCTTTAAATTATTTGCAGCCAGGCAGTGGTGGCGCATGCCTTGAATCCCAGCGCTCAGGAGGCAGAGGGAGTCCAGGATAGTCAAGGCGACACAGAAAAAAACTGTCTCGAAAAACCAAGCAACCAAATAAAATTATTTGTTGTGTGTGTTGTCTGGGCAGACACTTGTGTGGAGGCTCACATGCCATGACCTGCATGTCAGGATAACTTCGGAGTCAGTTCTTTCATCCTTTAAGTAGGTCCCAGGGAGGAAAATCAGGTCTCCAGGCTGGCATGTTCTCAGACTCCTTTCTTGCTTATTTGGCTAATATATTTATCAAGAGGCAAAAGCCGTTATTTTAGCTTTAAAACCAAGTTTTATTACTTTAGATGTTAGGTGAATGGCTCCTAAAACAAGTGTAGCTCCCTAACCTATTTGGAATCAGATTTTTTTTATTTTACTAATAGACAAAAATATTTGATTCATTAAAAGAAATGAACACACTTATTTCTACATTGTCTGTAGGCTTTCTAGTGGTAAAGACAATTATTAGTAGAGAAAACTTAGCACTTAAAAATCTATATGCAATAATTTTCAAGTATTATCATTGGGGAAAACCAGGAAACACTGCACATGAGAGCTATTAAACTATACTCTGGCTTAACATTTCTATCCTAGTTTCCTCATCTCAAGACTATATTTTAGCACCTCCGAGTCACTCAGAGAATTAAACAATCAACTTAGCACAATCTCTAATATTTAACACTGAACAATTAGGGTAATATTAATCTATAAACATAACAACAACAACAAAGTATAGACAAACTCGATCAACAGAGTAAGGCGTGATGATACAGCTCTAGCTCTGCCAATTGTTCAGAAAGGCTGGAGCAGGAGAGTTTTGAGTTCCAGACCAGACTAGCCTGGGAAACTAAGGAAGACCATGACAAACATGGCCAAAAAGGTACTTGCAGAGGACCACCACTTAGACATATGTATATTAAAAATAGGTAAGCAGCTGGATGGCGGTGAATGTCTTTAGTCCCAGCACTCAGGAGGCAGGGGCAGGGGAATGTCTGAGTTCGAAGCCAACCTTGGTCTACAGGGTGAGTCTTCTAGGACAGCCAGGGCAACACAGAGAAACCTGTCAGAACCAATCCTCCCTAGGGCCCCACCCCCAAAAGGCCAGTGAGTTAAGATTCAAAAGTACCCCCTCTTGGGGCTGAAGAGATGGCTCAGCACTGCTGCTTTTACAGAGCACCTTGGTTTAATTGCTGGCATCTACACGGTGGCTCACAGCCATCTGTAACTTGGATTAGCTGCATTCTTCAGGCCTGTGCAAGCGAGGCACACACATGACGTAAGCACACACACACACACACACACACACACACACACACACACACACACACAATGCACACAGGCACATGTTGTGCCAACATACACAGTAAAATAAATTTAAAAAAATAAAATTGCCCCTGTTTACAATCTAAGGACTCATGCAGGAATACATACCGGATCAACTTGCCATATGATAACTGTGGTATCCTTTGATCCTGTTGCTAGTTTAGTGCCATCATTAGAGAATTTACAGAACCACACTTCATTACAATGCTCTGTAAGTATCTGCTGAGTGTAACAGGGGAACTGCCTCCTAAAACAAAGAAATTCACACATAATTATTTTTTCAAAGCATATTTTAGCAATAATGAGGGCATTTAACAACTGGGGAAACTCCTTTTGGAGATCACATTATATACTGCAAGTATAAATATGATTAGATTTACAACTCTCAAGAATCAAATTTATTTTTATATGCTGAAAAAGAAAACACGATGACACCAGGTACTTTTTGTTAAGCCAACTCTAGTGAAAATCTCTATATAAAATCTTCAGAGAGGGGCACAGGAGGAGATGAGGGAGGGGGCTACAGCTGGGATACAAAGTGAATAAACTGTAATATTAAAAATAACAATTTAATAAAAAAAAACTTCATACTTTTTTGCTGTCTTCTGCAGGCTTACTTGCCTTCATATAATTATTATTCAGGAACTATGTTTACCCACTAGATGAATGACTTTAGTTGGATGTCCAACAAGGATTAAGGAATAATGCAGCATTTTCAAGCATTTACAATCAGGTAAGCTACAGTTAAGACTTGGTATAAGAAAAGAATATGGGGGAGGGCAGTAAGATGGCTCAGACGTGCTTGCTAACAGCTGAGATTCTGTCATCCCTAGAACACAGGCAGTGGGGGAAAGGACCGGCTCCTGATGCTGCCCTCTGCTTCCCCCTGTGCTGTGACACACACGCAGTTACTAATAACCAGGGAGCGAGGGGCTGGCTCAATGGGTAAAGTACTGGCCTGTGAAGACTGACAACCTGGTTCAATTCCTCGGAACTGTATGGTGGAAAGAGTAAAAATACCTCTTTCTGAGTGTGTTTTGCCTACATGTATGTATGTATTATACACATGCCTCGTGTACCATGTGGAAGCCAGGACAGGGTGTCAGGTTCCTTGGAACTAGAGTTACAGGTAGTTGTGAGCCATCATGTAAGTACTGGGAACCAAACTCAGGTCCTCTGCAAGAATAGCAAGTGCTCTCTTAATCACTGGGCCATTTCTCCAGCCCTCCTACCCCATTTTGAGACTCTTTCTTACTAGTGTAGCTCAGGCTTGTTTGAAACTCTTCATCTTCCTACCTCAGTCTCCTAAGTAAGGGGACTAATAGGTAGGCATGATCTTGCCCAGGTCACACTTTCAAGTTTATCTCAAAAGACGTCAATGACTTTCTCTCTGTTTTCCCTACCAATAAGTAATAGGAGCAGCACAGTGGTGTGAGCCTAAGGTCCCAACACCTGTGAACTTCTGGCCGGAGCCCAAGAAACCGGCAACACAGCAAGAGCCAGCCCTGGTCTCGAAACAAAACAAGGTGTGCTGGTACCCACATAGGAAAGGAGTACACTGCGACCTCAGCTTTAGGAAGTAACACCTGGCAACTTTAAACTTTTAAACTACTTCACTAAAAACTGCTTTAATATTCAACTTGCTTTTTTACTCTAAACCAAAATAATACATATTTGTGTCTTATTAAGCACTCTACTAGGTGCTAAGTACTGCCTGTGACCATTTCCACAAGATATTAAGTTTTAGGTTTGTATATGGGTGTTCTGCCTGCATTTATGTCCGTGTACCAACTGTGTGCACTATGTCCACAGAGGCCAGAAGAGGGCACTGGACCCCTGGAGCTGGCTAAACTGCTGTTAACTAGGTGGATGCTGGGAACCAAACCTGAGCTGTCCTCAGGAACAAGCATCCTTAACTGCTGAGCCACTGCTCCAGCTTCAGGGCACTAAGTCTTGAAACTAATGACAAGAGAAATGCTTTCACCCCGTAATCACAGGCTCAAAGAGCCAAGTATCTTACATGATTTTCACAACACTGTCAAGTAACTCAACTAAAATTTGAGCCAATGACCAGGTGCACTATCTTCCCAAATGTTAACTTTAAATAATATTTTTCAAAGACTGAATAAATTTTTTTAAATTTATTTATTATGTATACAGTGTTCTGCCTACATGTACACCTGCACGCCAGAAGAAGGCACCAGACCTCATTATAGATGGTTGTGAGCCATCATGCAGTTGCTGGGAATTGAACTTAGGACCTTTGGAAGAACAGCCGGGGCTCTTAACCTCTGAGCCATCTCTCCAGCCCCATATAATTTTTTATTAAACATTTAAATGCCTGAAATTGATCACAGTAACAACATTCACTTTGATTAGCATGCTACCTTTTACTAAGAACTCAGAATTATCAATCATTTTGTCTACTGAAAGCTGTCACTCACTCAAAATCAGCATTTTGAAAAAAAATTTTAGCATTTTGACTAAACTCAATCTTTAAATTGCATCTATAAATATTTTATAATAATCCTGTATTAAATAATTAACACTTATAAAACAGCCTATGAAAAGGGAGTTTCATTAGTTCTGGTGTAAAAAAAAAAAAAAAAAAAACTTAGAAAATTATTTCTTTTTTTAAAAAAAATGTGTTCCTTAATGGTCAAACTAACCCAAAAATATATGCACTGAAACTGATAAAAAACTGTATACAACTAATAAAAACTCTTTAATGTTTACTTGGGTTTTTCAAAGTCATAATTCAGCTATTCATTATCAATTCTCTATTCTCTGTGAGGAAAGAATGAGTAGTTTTAAATATTGACATGTAATTTCAGAAAATATCTTTCTAGCTCCAATGCCATTCTAGAAGAAAATAAAGCAGATGGCTAAAAACCATCAACTTTTCTTTTGAGAAGCTCCAGCTAAACTTAAGAATTGAATTCAGGCTCAAGTTTCCAGTTTAGCAACAAGGAGTACAACTTACTGAATTAATGCCTGGTGTTATTTAGTGTCCTTAAAAATCTATCTATAGAAAGAACAGCTGGGAATAGCTCCTGGTTCTCTGGCTTGTTAAACTGGGTAGGTACGTCCTCCCTGAGACTGAAAATGCAGGGGTGGGAAGATGTCTTGGCAGCTGAAGTCCTTGCATCAAGCAAGAGGTCGGGAGATCAGATGCGCAAACCCCACGTATTGCTAGGTTGACAGGGTAGCGCACCTGCAATCCCAGCCTCTGCAGGTAGAGGCAGGGAGCCCTGGCGCAAGCTGGCTAGAAACTTGCTGGACTGGTGAGCTCCAGGTTCCATGAGACCCTGTCTCAAAAGATAAAGTGGGAGAGCAACTGAGGAAGACTCCAATATCAACCTTGGGCCGCCACACAGATGCACCTCCACCTACCTGTGTCCCACACACGAGTGCCCACACACGTGAAAACACATTCATTCAACCATACAGAGCATACATTTGAAAAAGAAAAAAAATAAAAAAGATACAACTCCAGTGTAAAAAAAAGACTTAGCAGGTCTTGGGTAAGAGGTAGAAAAAAATCTCTTTGGATCTGCTATGTATAACCAGACAATAACCAAACTGCACTCAGGTCTAAGTCTCAGGACATCAAAACTGTAGCTCTGGACTTTTTCCAATAGTCATCAGATGTGGGAAGTGTAACTTATGGAAGAAAGATGAGGCAAAAAGCAATCCTAGATACACGATTAAAGGGATAGATAGGGAAGACAGACCCAGGAGGGGTCAGAATATCGATCAAGAGCCTGGAATATTTCTTTCAAAGAAGAGTGCTCAAATACTATAGAAAGCTCAAGATAAACTGGAAAGCAGCTGCTGCATTTAACTGTTCCTCATCAACATGAAACTCAAGTTTTATGTTCCGTTTGCTCTATAGGTATTAATGCTATACGAATCTGAAGAAAAAAGAAAGAACAGGGACAGAAGAACTATACAGCCGGTAATGATGTGAGAGCACCACTATGCACAGAACCCCGACATGTCTGCGTACAGTGCTTTGCCTGCACGGCTGTCTAATCTCCATGTTTTTGTTTCTAAAAATCATAAAGACCACCTGAGGAGCAACAAGAACTCTTTCAGTTCTAGCAAAATTCAGAGTGCTTTATACATGAAATGGTGAGTACCCAGTCCCTGAGGTGAAGGGTGGAAAAGGTAGACCAGTATTTGCTTATGTCAGTTCCACAGATCAGAATTAAGGAGTAAATAGGGGGGGAAATCCTCTTCTCATGGGATTCTGTTTCTACCCAGGAAGGTTTCTGACACTTCTGGCCCCATCAGGTCTAGCTGTCGCCTTTCAGTGTTCCCAGCAGAAATGCATTTATGAGCCACAAAGAAACTGTGGTTTACAATTTTAAGTTTCCAACCTCCTAAAGGAGCTATGAAACAAGGGACTGACCACAGAGCCTTTCTGTCTATGATAGCCCTCCACCTCAATTTAAACAACAAAAAAAAATTCTTTAAAAAAATTTCCCTAATAAGTCAAAGAAGAGTGTGAAGGTGTGAATGTTGTGAGGAATGAACCGTGTAGGAGTGAACAGTGTGAGGGTGTGGAAGGGGCCAATGAAAGAGAACCACTAATCACTTCCTAGCTGAACTTCAGACCAAATCAGGATCCAGCACTTCCAAGATGAGCATCACTTTTAAGGCCAAGAGCTCAAAGAATGTTTTTTTTTACAAGTGTGGTGACTGATGTCACAACTATACACACAGGCAGATTGTAGGGCTGGGGGTGTAGTTCAGGCAGGACTTGTGACTAACATTTGAACAGACATAGCACCAAAAAACCAAACACAAAAACCAAAGTAAAACACCTGGTTTAAACACATCTAAGAACCATCCTAAATCATTATCTGGATGCTGCGTAGTATTTATGGTTACTCAAAAGTTCCTTACCAACTACATATACACTATCATTAATGAAATTCATTCCTTTCATTAATTCTTCAATGAGAAAAAATGAGTATGTGGGGGCTGGAGAGGCGGCTCAGTGCTTAAGAGCACGGCTGCTCTTCAAGAAGACTAGGGTTCAATTCCCAGCACCCACATGGCAGCTCAGAATTGTCTTAACTCTACTTCCAAGAGATCTGACACCCTCATAGACATACATGTAAGCAAAACACCAATGCGTTTAATAAAAACAACAATAACAACAAATGGGAGTATGCGCACTCCAGCTGTCTAATTTCTTTCACAGAATTTGAAAGGGTTTACTTGCTCTCCTGGTAGTTTAAAGTTCTGATTTAATTTTGAAGAACATCATTAAAATAGAAGGGATTTTCTTTTCCCCCCCGAAACAGGGCTTTTCTGTATAACCCTATCTGTCCTGGAACTCGATCTGTAGTCCATGCTGGCCTTGAACTTGCAGAGATCCACCTGCCTCTGTCTCCCTGGTACTAGGATCAAAGGTGTGTGCCACCACTACACCCAAAGACAAGCATGAACCCTTCCAAGCTCAATTGTGCGCTTGGGTGTGCAAACATACACAAAGTTAAAGCCTGTTATTCTAACCATTTTTGGAGCCCTCCCTTCATTTACAAAATCAGAACTTTGATTACAGAAAAGTATTTCCAAGGCTTTTATATGCAGAGAATTAATTTGGTACATAGTTATACGCTACTGAACATAGAAGGTGAACCAAACCCACAGACAGGGATATGAAAAATTGGCCTTTGGGCTTCAGCTCCCAACTGTGGCTTACTACATAAACATAGGTTTATGCATTAGAAACTAATTTTATGATTTTTTTCCCACTAAATTTCAATTTTAGTAGTCCTGGGTTTTACTGTGAATAAATGGCAAATCAGATATGAACTGTTATAGGTACACAAAGAAACCCTAGAAAATGTTCTAGTAAAGTTCATAATTCTAGCTGTAAAATGGTACCATTTGAAAAATGTAAGAAGTTTCCCTCTTACCTACTACAAACATGGTCTGTAAGCAGAGACGTGGAGTCTAGGCTACTGTCGAGTTTGGTATTGTGGAACAGGCACCGGTCCCTTTGTAGCTCCACCGCCTGTCGCAGGAGGGCCTGTAAACGCCGTGGGGGGAGCATCACTGATGGCGGTAAATAGGCTTTAATAAAAGATATTTTAAGAAAGAGAAATAAAAATAATAATAAAGTATAAAATGTATTTTAAGACATTTACTCCTGTTGCGCCTTTTACCTCAATATTATTGTTTCCTTTCCACAAACAAGCTCTAGGGAGAGGACGTAGATTAAGTTTTGAGTATTTGTCAAAAGCTACAGTGATAACTGCCACTAGAAAAGAACAGATAGACCAGCTGTATCTTATAGGGAGAGTTTTGGGGAATTGCGGGGGGGAAAGACACCACATACAGAAAAATATTACAAAATTAAATAAAAGGAAGATGAAGAGACAATCCAATGATGATTATGTATCAGTAGCTGACCAGTTTACGAAAAATCTTAACAAAGAATAATCAAAACACTGACTGGCTAACATCCAGTGGCTACTTAATGCCAAGGGTACTGTGGAAACTCACACAACAGTGTCTTGACATAAATGTATTTCAACCCTCTTTTGCATTTCTCCAAGATAAATGGAGGGTATATTTTCTGATTTGTGAGATTTCCACACATTGCAGCATGATATAACAGCATGATTGGAATAGAAAGGAGATATTTTATATAAAGATACGGTAAAAATGAAATCCCCAATACTACTTGAAGGCAATGTAACACAGCTAGAAAAAAAATAAAATAATTTACCTAAAGAAATCCGGTCACTACTAAAGAAAAAACAAAAATGTAAAAATGCTTGTAACTTGAAGCTTTGGTTCACATTTTGTCTCCGAGCTTAGTATTTTCCTCCAAGGGAAACCTTGAGAGCACCGATAAACAATACAAACACAAGGAGAATGCTGAAACCAGCCTTCTCACTGACTACAGAGGTTACAACTGGTGAGTGTGAAAAATTTGGTTTAAAGGGCTCTTTAATGGGTTCCTCTTTTCCACACACACTCAGTAGAAGTATAGCTACATACAAGCTTCAAGCTGATTTCCAGTACCTACTTCTAAACTACAAAAACAACAAAAGTGACTCTCACTCTGAAGCTTGTCCAGGAGTTTGGACCGGGAAGCTGTCCCCTTGCCTTCCCATTCAGCTTTGGCCCGTAGGTCTTCTGCGTGGCTACACATCAGATACCTGCAACAGAATAGGCAACACATCTCAAACTCCATTCTTTGTAATATAAAAAGCAGTTTGTTTTATTTTCACAATCAAGTTCTTGCTTACACAAATCAAGAACATTTTTACAGTGAATTCAATTTATTAATAACAAATCCGGCACCCTCATAGGGCTATTAAAAGGTAGTATGGTATTACCTAAATACTCACCTAGTGTTATAGATGTAGCTTACTCTGTGCTAGGTCACGTTCCAAGTTCTCAGCACATGCTTCATCAAATGTCATAACCACCTACATGAAGCAAGCACCGTGACTCTATTTCTATAAATGAAGAAACTGACACACTGAGAGCTCAGGAAATAGTCTTTAGATGAGGTAGGCAACTTAGGAACAGAGAAGCCCAGGCATGCAAGCTACAGACCTTGCTCTTCACCACTGGGTTACTTGTCTTTCTACTGCACATACCCAAAATACACACCAAAACAGCTCAGCGGCTAGGAAGATAGTTGAGTGGATAAGAATGCTTGCTTGGAATAAGGACCTGAGTTCAGGTATGCAAACAGACAAGCAGGGCTATGTATGACTAAAACCCCAATATCACTCCTCACTATGTGGAGACAGTGGCACATAATGCGGAAGTTCCTGAACTCTGGGGAATATATGAGGATCTCTTGCAGGAAGCATACCTCCAACCTAGCTTTTCTTAGGGGAACAGGACTGAAGAAAAGAAGTGAAGGTCTTCATTCAAACATGGAGGTGAGATCTGGGAAGGTACTCTCCTGGTGCTCTGCCACACATACTATCACTTGTATTAAGGACAAGCAGGCAGGGTAACTAGGTGCTCACTCTGCTCCCTGCCTAGGCAAGCCCCTCCTTCCCCTCCTTAACAGAGGAAAGTGTCACTGAGCTGGTAAACAGAGCTCCTTATCTTCTTGCTACTTAGTATGGATTTATCATTTTGGTTAATGAAAAAAAAAAAAAAACCAAAACTGTTTACAAAGTGCAATTAATTATACTTAACAAGCCTCTGGAGAAACTAGATACTATAAATACTGACACTAAAATAATTTGGGGAGCCAATGAAAGGGCTTTGCAGGTCAAGGCTCTTTTAATACAAGCCTGCCTACCAATCCAAGTACAATCCCTGGAACCTGCGGGCTGAAAGGGAACCATCTCAACAGACCGTCCTCTGACCTCTACACGCGCACATACACAACACAAGCGGAAAAGGAAAAGAAAAAAGAATGTTCTGGGAAAATTGTTTACTTTTTAAAGTTTGCAAATTGACATGTTTGCAAATTGGCACAGGCCTACAACCCAAGCTGCTCCAAAAGCTGAGGTAGCCAGGGAAGCTCAGAGACTATCTCCAAATAAAAAGGAAAGCTCTGGGGAAATGCCCCTCAGTGAAGGATGCTTACTGGCAGCACATGAAGTCCCAAGTTCAATCCCAAAACTGCCCCAAATGGGCAAAACTATGGCTGTTTCTGTGCACTTTACAAAAAAATCTGCACTATTAAGCCTTGGGTTTCAGATGAATGTGCTTATGGAAAGTGGCACAGCAGAACTGAAAGGACACAGCACTGGCAGGAAGTGACTTTTTCTTTCAAGATCATTTCAAAATAAAAACCATGCATTAAATTGTATGATCTGGACACAGGTGATAGCACCTTTAATCCTAACACTTGGGAAGCAGAGGCAGATGGATCTCTCTGAGTTCAAGGCCAGCCTGATACATAGTGCAAGTATCAGGATAGCCAGGACTTCAGAGTAAGATCAAGTATCAAAAATAAGTAAATATATGTATGTGTGTGTGAAAGTCTGTGTACATTTGTGAGCTCTCCGTTATCAGAGAAGAAAAGAAAAAACAAAATTATGTAAATGCCATTTGGCTGGCAAAGTCAGATACCTATGAATAAGGTAATTAGAAATAAACTGTCAGCCATGGTATCGAAAAATCTAGCAGACTCCACAAGACCAAGAGTCAACTCCCCTGGGCCCATGTGGGCTTACTGAGACTGAAGCACAAACCAAGGACCATGCATGGAATTAACCTAGGATCCCTACACATATGTAGCTGGTGGGCGGCTTGGTCTTTACGTGAGTTCCCTAGTAAGGGGACCAGGGGACCAGCAAGTAGGGGCTGTCTGAATCTGACATGGGTTTTGCTGCCTGCTTTTCCATCACTTCCCCCTGGCGGGACTGCCTGGCCCGGCCTCAATACAAAAGGATGCATTCAATCCTGGTGTGCCTTGATGTGCTGGGGTGGATTGGGGGCTCCTCTTTTCTGAGGAGGGGAGGCGGGATAGGGGAGAAGACGGAGGGAAGGTGGAACTGGGAGGAGAGGATCGAGGGGGCTATGATCTGGATATAAAGTGAATGAATAAACTTTAAAAATATCTAGCAGACTTTAAAACTGCTGAGACCATGTTACATGGTAGAAAAAAAATGATATGAAGAGAAAAACAGAACAAAGAAGAACTGATCTGAAGACAGGACATTCGGGCTGGACAGGCCTATTAGATATACACATGGAGACTGTCAAATAGGCTACTAGAGATGGAACATTCAAGGATTACCAGCACAGCTGGATCTGTGAGTTCAAGGCCAATCTAGTCTATATTGTGAGTTACAGGACAGCCAGGGCTACACGCTGAGACACTGAATCAAAAAAACAAAAGAAGCACCACCACCATTAGCATACACATACAGGCACAGAGAAGAATGAGGTCATTTACTAAAAGAAGCCCAGGTTGGTGGCACTCAACTTTAATCCTAGCTAGGATGGCAAAGGCAGGCTCATTTCTTATAAATGTTAAGGCAGTGTGGTCTACACAGCAAGTTTCAGGCTAGCCAAGTCCATGCCTCAAAATAAGTAAAAAATACAACAGAAAACTAAGGGCTATAGTAACAGATAAATGATTGATGTTTATGCCCTTTATTGCTTGTTGTGATCCAAAGCCATGAAGCTTTTTGTTTGGTTGGTTGGTTTTTGAGATAGGGCTTCTCTCTGTGGTCCTGGCTGTCCTGGACTTGCTTTGTAGATCAGGCTGGCCTCGAACTCACAGAGATCTGCCTACCTCTGCCTCCTAAGTGCTGAGATTACAGACATGTACCATGGTGCCAGCCTGAAGTTCGGTTTAATCTTTCTTTTTGAGAAAATTTTGAAAGAGTATCTCATTGGCTATATGGATTTCTTCTCCTTTTCACTTATAAGCATCTCAAATCTCAATATACATAGCTAAATTGCTTGTGCTCACATAAGTGAAATGTATCCCGTACCAAGAGAATTTAGCTTTATCTAGGTACTTTCTATCTCAGAAAGAAAGTTAGTAAAATATAACTTTGGCCAATAGTAAGCTTTTACAAAAGTAACAGCCTCTTCATGAATCTGGATCTAGGAACTCCATGTCCTTACCCACTAAGAACATGGATGCGTTCTGTATTGTACTTCAGCGGTGTCAGCTCACAGCGTAGAACTTGAAGTGCCTCCAGGACCTTGCCATCCTCCAGGTACTCCAGGTACTTCTGCTGCAGCAGCAGAAACTTCATCCTCTGACATGACAGAAAGCAGCAGTCAGGGGAAAAAGTTGATGGAAGTTTCAGAAAACGTTTGTGCCTAAACAGAACAGTAGAAACCATCTACTATGCCTTCTGAAAATAATTTCATAAAACTTCAAGATGACTCAAAATATTCTGGTTACGAGTTGCAGTAGGTTAAATATGACTGCTCAAATCTATACATCAATAAAACTCTGAATGAATGATCCTCAAGCCAGGATCATTAGTGACTGAGGCATCATCAACGTTAAGAAAAGAAAATGAACACTGTTCTATTTCCTTAGAGTTTTACTATCAACATTTAAAACTATTCCAAGAATTCTAAATTTGCTTTTCAAAATTTCTACCAGAACAGGGCAGTGAGAAGTCTTATGCAACAAGCTCTGAAAAGACTGGTGAAGAAAAACAAACAAACAAACAAACAAACAACCCAGTTAATGGAAGAGTGACTTGAAAGTCACAATATAGCACGGTATAGCTCAGTGGTGTAGTGCTTGTAGAGTATGTAGAAATTTGGATTTGATTCTAACTAACACCACAAAATCAACAGTAAAAAAAAACAAAAAAAACAAAACCCAACAGCAACAAAACCCCCAAACAAAACAAAAAAGACACAATGTGAAAGAGAAACTAAGGGGATTGGAAGGTAGAACTGCTATCATTAGGGATGAGTGTAAGTGCCAAACTTGGGCTTCAAAGGGCACACTACAGGCTGGCATGCAGAAGTCTGGCAGTCCTGGGACTAACCAGAGTGAGCACAAGCTCCCTCACTGTCTCTGTGGTTGTAAAGACATGGGTACATCAGAAGGCTGGATTTGATGGCCTTTAGGAAGATTCAGTATGTACTATGTTTGCATATTTCTAATAATCTGTTTACTAATGTGTTTAGCAACAAAGCACGGATAAATATTATTCATTCTTTGCCCACAAGGATAAAGCACTTTTCAGTTATGAGACACTTTATTTTTTTTTTCCCAAAGGGAAACTGTCTGGCTTTAATATTTTTAATGTCACTTTATTATCTTACTCTAAACTTGAAAGTGATGATCACAATCCTAGCAGTTTTTCGCCAGACAAGGGCAATCTCTATTAACTCTTCTATGTGGAGTGTCTTGAACTTTAAGCCTCACTGAGGAGCACTGTTGGAAGGAACCCCTCACACCTGATACTTGCGCTTCAGCAAGCGAATGCTCATCACACTCAGAAGCTCAGCGGGAAGTGGAAGAGCCAAGCCCACTTTAAAAAACCCAAGTTGCTACAAAATGGTGTCCAGAAATTACCATGTAACAACAGAATTAAGAGGATCATGAGCTGCTTTAATATTAAGCACTATCTAGAAATAAATTACTGATTATTTTATTGTGTCTCAAATACAACAGTTTACCTAATAAATCTTCACCTGACACTTACATATCAAAAATCATCTCTAGAGAAAACAAAAACCCTCTTTATACAAACCAGGCAACTACATAAACACATCCACTGTAAGACACATTCCTTATGTTTGTTATCTAATCCACTGTGAGATACACTTCTTATATGTTTGGTAGTCTAACCTTAAAGCTTTAGGTAACATACACACACACACACACACACACACACACACACACACACAAACAAAAACTTTTAAACTGAGCCCTACTCCTGTAACTAGGAAAATTGCACTTACCGATTTACACATAAAGTTAGACTAATCCAAGCTTCAGAAACAGACTAATTACCAAGATGCATTAAAAGCATGTTGCATATGTATCCTTAACCTTATTTTTATATGAAAAAAAAAAATACTTTCAAGTGCACCAGGAGACAAAAATCCCAAAATTAATTTTAAAAAATCTTAAAAAAAAGGGGGGGGGCTTATATTTCAACTTATAAGGGCTATTGCCATCACTTTCTTAAAAAAAAAAAACTACTTCATTTTCTACGTTATCTGCACACTGTTGAAGGTTTCATTAATTTAGTGTATTTTTAATTCAAACTTAATACCACATGTAACTAGTCGGCATGAAGTTCATTCCCTCATTAAGTCCTCTCAGCATCAGGAAATGGGAAACATTTTCCCGTTTAACTGCCTAAGGCCCTAACCCTTGAGGTCCCTCAAGCCGGTGTGCACAGGGGGCAGGGGCAGTGCCCAGATGCTACCTCTCCCTTATTTTCTCATCAAGATTCTGACAGAATATGCTGCTGTACTCTATGGAGCAAAGATTGGGCACAGGATGTAAAAGGAAGGCAGACTAAACCTTTAAGTGAAGCCAATACAAACACATATTTCTGTATATACAGAGAATGCTATAAAAGCAGCACAAGAACATTTTCATGAGTCATTTCATCCAAATTAAGACAATGAACACCCTCAACTGGGCATCAAAGCTTGGCCTAGTGCGTGACAACGAATGTGCTGCTAAACAAACATAGCTAAAGCACGTGTTGAGGAAAAATGATGTTTATCCATCTGAAACTCAGTTCAAGTACCTCCCATAGAAACAATGAAAGTGCATTTTACCTTCCTAAATTTAGAGCTCAAAATGGAACATAATCTCAAAAATAAATAAATGAATGAATGAATAAATAAATAAATAAAGACCTTTTAAAATGTACAAATGATGCTCATTCCAGAAAAAGTTAAAAATCAGGCAATACTGAGGCTTGCTTAGAAAGGGATCTTTTCTTTTTTAAAAGATCAGAAACTTCTGAAAGAAGCCAGAGGACTAGAAGAGGGATGAGGAAATTTCCATTTTCCATTAGACCTCTATAAGACTATTTCAGGACTATTTCAGGTCTCTGATGATTTTTCAATGTCTTTGGGACAGCAACATTTTCATCTTTTTCTTTTAAAATCTAATAAAAACCTGAAAGTGAAATTTTTTTCTTGGACCCTCCCATACCTTACCCAATATCTGAAAGACGTTCTTTCCCCCACATTATCAGACTGAATTTTAATACTGAAGAAAAATGCAGAAATAATAACGCACATAGAGCCTAGTTATTGAGGGCAGTCTTCTAACTTTAGGATGGCTTTAACTCTGGAATAATGTTATAAGCAAATTTGCCAATTAAATCTTGATTCCAAGGAAAGGAGAAATAAATTATATTTAAGCTATGGCTCTAAAGGCTCTTACTTGACTTTATGAGTTAATCTTTGTATGTCAAGTCAATATTTGTCCATTATTGTTAAGATTATTTCCATTACATTAAGAAACAAAAGAATGAGACTTCATAAACATACAGCAATTTTCTGTTCTTGTTCTCAAGCGCCCATCCAGATTTCTCAGACATGGCTAAGCATATCAACTCAAACTGAAAATGTTGATTCATGACTTTAGCATCCAAAAAGCCCATAACACCTGCTTTTCTGAGGATCATTTGCCTGGAAACCATTGTAAAGTGTGGGGGACCGGGGAGAGTGAGGATAGTAAACTACATCAATAAAAACATTCAGGTTTAAAAAGCAAAGTTCAGCCTTAAGACTAGGGATGCAGCTCAGTGCAGAGCACAGCTAACCCCAGATGAGGCTCTGGCTTCAGTTCCTATCACTGGAAATAACAACAATGTGCAGTTTGAGACTATAATGCCATCAAGTGTCTGGGTAAATAAGTAATTATGTTAAAAACCCACAGTTGCCTTCTAAGATATCATTACAAATTCCAACTTATATTAAATGATCTTCTAGCAATGAATGAAGTTGGGAAGGAATAAATGGTATCAGAAAGGTGAAGAAAGGCTTCAAAAAATGCTGAACTGAATCTTTTAAAGCAATTGATTCTTCAATGCTTAAGGGAGACAAAAGTTGGACCCTTTTCTTTTTATAAATACCTAAACAGTTTGATGGTGTGAGGCTCAGCCAGAGATTTAATCTTCATCTTTTATTAGATCCTAGAATGTTCTACAGACTGACCAGGCTGTAAAAAGAAAGGATCCTCCTTATTATCTATAACTACCTTTCTCCAACTTACATGTTGCTTCTATTGAAGTTTCTAATGAGTCATAATCTACACCCAAGCAGAAGTCTCAAGTTACAATAAATCAATTTTTAGAAGTGAATCCATTGAATTTTTCACTATTAGAATCCAGACACAATTTGGATAAACTTAGACGAAAACATATCCAAGAAATCACATCAAAATACTCCACAAATAATTTCTTTATATCCACCAGTAAACCCCAATTCTTATTTTGGCCATTTTATCTTCTTTGTTTTAGCTCATTCAGCTTGAGCCAAAAATTTGTGAAGAACTGCCCAATTACAATATACTCTTTTTAAACCCCAGACATACCAATTGAGGACACTATTTCATGAAAAATTAATCCCTTCAAATATAAATGCTTAATTACTTTGGCTCATTTTTTTAAAATTATATTATGGAATTGTTTATTCCTCAAGTTAAATCATCTGGCTTAATATTACTTTAAAGTTTTTAATATACTGGGGATTTATTGAAAGAACAAAACCATTAATGTAGCTTAATTCACATTTGTCATACTTTAGATCTTTAATTTGCCTGAAGTCCACTTTCTAAGATTTTATTATTGTACAGAATTGTATAAAGAATTTGAAAGTATTTTGTAACAAGTTTTTTTTTTTTTAAGGAAAAAAAAAACCCAGGGCTCTATTAAGTTTGCAGACAAAGGTAAAAAAGGTTAATGTTTGACCCAATTAAAAAATAAAAGAATCAAAATGTTAATAGTTACTTACTAATATTTAAGGAACAGCTCCCTTCTCTACTTCACTTCCTATTCTCTCCTTCTTTCCCTCCCCCACCAGACAGGAAACAGTTTTGACAATAAATGAATCAGCTAGACCTTTATAAGCCAGCAGCTGATTCTTCATGCTTTGCAATCACTGGCACTTAAAACAACAACAACAAAAAAAAAAAAACAATGTAGCCCTTCCTAAAGAATTAAAACTCCACCAGCATAAAAAAACAAAAACAAAACCCATAATGGTTTATGAAAGAAGCTAACAGGATAAACTATTAAACTGGTCTTAACAAGAAAATACAGATTAGTAAGTAGGACCCAATAGTCAAACCTGCAACTAAACTTCCCAAAGTAACACATTATTATACAAAATTTGACACTTGTCAATTCACCTAAGTTGAATGAAAGACACAGTGGGCACACCAACAGTAATAATTTGGCTTAACTATGTAATTCTAATGATCAAAAAATTAATGCACCAGCTTCTTCAGGCTGTATGGTATTACACTCAAGCATATTTTCTCTTTAACAAAAAACTGGTTCTCTGAGTAATATAAAAGTATAATCTATCCTTGACTAACAATATGAGGCCCCTATCAACAGCACTAAAAGCAGCAAGATCTTTAATTATTTTATAAAGCTTAAATTACAAATTATTTCAAATAACACATTTACTAAGGATGACTTAAAATATTTAAAGTTCATAGCTTACAACTATAATAACTCATCCTTATTTATAAATTATACAAAATTTACTTTCAAGCCTTTTAAAGATCAGATGCCTATAGTTATCAATAACCTAAAATAAGCATAAATGTGAAACTAAGAACAAAAGTGTATTTACCACAATTATTCCCAACAACGTTTGAGAGATTTCAAGTGCGCCTCTTACCACAATAGCATGAGGAGAATGCACTAAAGGCTTTAGTTCATTCAGGTCATTTTCTGCCTGCAAAAAATTGGTATAAAAGAAAACAAACATGTCACAAAATTCCCATCAAATACATAATTTTAGCAGCAGTCATACAGCTCTATGCCCTACTTTACCTTATCCCAGTCTCCTTCCATGACATGATTTCGGAATTTGGTAGCAGAAGGATGCTCTAAACGACATCCTGACTCTTGCATGAGGAGATCAACAGTCTGGCTGCAGGAGAGATACAGTGTGAAAAAGACCTGACCAACTTAAGGGACTTACTCTTCCTAGTAAGCGAATATCTACAACTTCATGAAGAAGAAAAATAGCTCTAAAACCCCTCATTAAGTAAATAAATGATTTAAAATGCCACCTACATTTAAAGTTAAAAACCTTTATTGAAACCAGAATTAAATAAGTTCTTCCTACTTTTGTAATTTAATGTTTCAGAAGTTGAAAGGAGTATACAATTTATAAATGTGTGCTCTAACCAATTGGTCAAATAAAACTAGGATCCAGACACTATGGCACAGCATTTTGAAAGGTAAAATACAAGGTGACAGATGGCCTGTATCAGGTACAGCTTTCCTTCCAGATATTTTGCTTGTATGGAAATTCTACTAGATCAATCTTTAAAATTAAAAAAAAAAAAAAATATTCAGCATCAAAAACCATTTCCTTTCTCTCCATACTAAAAATAGCCAATTTACTATGGTGTAGATTCCAAATAGTCACGAGTTATTTCCGCCTGCTGCTGTCAGCTTGCTGCTTCCCTCAGTAATATGCTGTTAGCATTCACAAAATTTCTTTTCACACTTATCCTTTTCCTTAGGGAATAGTGAAATCTCTCCAGATTTTTCTTTGGGAGCTTAAGGCATCAAACGTGGTTTCATTTACCAGATACTTTGGTATCTAAGAACCTTCATTCAGCAATTACATATATATATATGTTCATGGCTTTACTTATGGATTTCTTTAATACTCTTCATCTTTTCAGCTCAATTATCAGTTAACAGTGCAATTATCAGCTTGGAAATCAAAATACTTCTGTCACTTTGGGTAAGTCCTGTTCTCCCCATTTCCCAACAAATGCACACACGAACCCACGGGCTCGAAGTCAAGCACAAACACACACGTTCCCCAAAACAAAACCTCAAACCCAGGTTACCTAAGAGTCATTTAAAATGTTTTGTTACTAGAAAAGTATTGCCTGTACTGCCAGGTCCTTCTGGCTGCGGTGCCTTCCTCAGCTCTAGGACACTCCCACCACCCCTACTTCACCTCCCTTTTGTGTGTGTGTGTGTGTGTGTGTGTGTGTGTGTACAAAACAGCGGGTTTTGGTTAAACCTGCCGTCTATCTTCACCCTAAGTTAAAGGCCACCCAAGCTATACTTGAAAACAAATGATTCACCAGATCAGACATTACTTTTCGAGAGGCCATCCTCTTGGCTGTGAAGTAAGATTTCACTAGTGCTAGGCCTTCAGCACACACACACACAGCCTCTGCATGACTTCCATTTGGTATCTTACTTCATTATTCCCATCAGATTTACTCGACAGCCTCTTTCCAAATTATCCCAGCCCCTTAGTTCCCATAAACACTTGTAGGCGACTGTCCTTCCTGATTGGTAGTTTGCCTGGGCTGTTGTCGGTCAGGGGGGGGGGTGGGGAGGTGTCCCACAAAGATGCCTCCGAGACACACTTGAAAAACAAATCCCCCAAGGTTCATTATTTCTACCGCTCTGATCTACCCCTCCCCCAGCACGAACACCCTCGGTGTCCGCCTTCCCGGACAGACAATCCAGCTCTGGAGGTGAGCGGGGAGGGGTCGCTCTGCGCTTCCACCACCCCTCCCCAGCCCAGACGGTCCGGCTGCTCTCACGTCAGGCCGGTTCGTTTTCCTCGACCTCCCTTCCGCTCCTCCCGGAGCTGTCCGCCCTCGGCCTCCTGCGCCCTGGGCGGCGGGGTCCCCCACAACCCTCCCGGCGGCTCGGCCCCGGCCTGGGAGGACGGACACTTACTTGAGCCCTAGGCCATTGAGGTGCTGTCCTATGAGCCTAATGACATCCTCGTCGGACTGCGAGAGCCGCTTCTTCTTCTTGAGGCTGCTGCCCAGATCGGGGGTGGCCAGGGCGGCGGCGGCGGTGGCGGAGGCCGCGGCGGCCCCGCCGGGAACCCCGTTATTGACACTCAGGCTGTTGCTATTGTTGCCAGCGGCGGAGGGGGCGGCAGGCAGGAGCCCGTTGGCGTGGGCCAGGTCCCCCGCGGACGCCGCCGAGGGGGACGACTCCCCGTTCTGCGCCGACAGGCAGGCGAGCTCCGGGGTCTGGCCCTGGCCCCCGCCGCCCCCGCCGCCGCCTCCTCCCGCCCCGTTGGCCTGCATGGTGCCGCCGCTGACCAGGCTGTGGCCGCTGCTCCGCTGGAGGACGGCGGGGGCGGCCGGAGGCAGTCCCACCACCACCACCACGGAGGAGGAGGCGGCGGGCGAGGGCGAGGGCGCGGGGGGGAGGCCTGCTCGGCCGGCCGAGGCCCCGGGCTCTCCTGCTCCCTCCGCCGCCGAGGCTCGGGGCTTCTTCCGCGGGGGCGGGGAGGCTCCGCCGGCGTCCGAGTCGGAGGAGGAGGAAGCGGAGGCCAGAGTTTCCTCGCCGAGAGAGGCCGTGGTGGGAGGCCGGCGGGGCGCGGCGGGGGTCGGCGGGGCGGGAGGAGGGGGAGAAGGAGGACCGGGCCCTTCCCCCCCCCTCCGGAGGCGCTCGCGGCGCGGCCCGGGGGCTCGCGGGCACTGGGGGGGGGCGCGGGCCCGCAGCTGGAGCCCTGGCGGCGGCGGCGGCGGCGGCGGCGGCGGAGGCAGCAGCCGCCTCGGGTGCTCGGTCCGCGCCGCTCCGCTCCCTGGTGTGTTGATTCTTCCCCCAGCTGCTGCCTAATGGAGTCCGGGCGCTGGCGTCACAGGAAATGCCTATACTGCCCTCCTCGCTCACTTCCGGCAGCAGGTATGGAACCTATAGGGGGCTGTCACCCAACACGTGTGTGTCGGGCCGCCGGGGGAAGGCGCCGGGGTGGAGGCGGGGGCCGCCGGGGGTCCGGCCCCGGGGGGCCGCGACCCGGCGCGACCCGCCCGGGCTGCTGCGCGCTCCGCCCTGGCTCCCGGGCCTGGCGTGCGAGCTCGGCCCGCGGAAGGTTCGCCGCCGCCCTCCGAGGCCCTCGGGTTGGGAGGTAGAGTTCGTGTCCTCGCCGTGCACCCGGAGTGACCCAGAAAGCAGCGATCGGCCGGCGCGGAGGGGGCCGCAGACGCGCAGGCATGGGCCAGGGTGGGGCCGCCGGCAGCCTGGTTTTGCAGCTGTGACTTCAGGCACGAGGCTGTGCTAGGCCCCTGTCCAGTGCCGTCGGGCTCTGCACCCAGGATTTCACCACCGCCTCGTTTTAGGGTGGAAACTCTTGAACTTCCACAGCCAAGCACAACACAGCAACAGCAGTTGCTGCGACCGTGTCACCCCGGGACAAGGCAGAGGAGACCGTGCTCCACCCTGGGAACGCGAAGTCGTCTGTAACTGCCTTCCCTTTGGGAGGAAAAACAATTCGTGGGGGAACGAACTTACAAAGAGTTGAGGGTGTGTAAGGGAGCGGAGGCGCTTTGCTGTGGACTTTTACTGTTTTTGTTTTGTTTTTCTTTTAAATGCTTGCTCAGGTGGCTTGGTCCTGTTTCCTGCCACCACTTAGATAGGGAGGATTCAGGCATCGATTCATATCCCTGGCTTGAAATTTTCAGGTGACCCGTGTTTCACAGTCCCAGAGCTTTAAGATGCTTTCTTGAGTGGAGAACTACAGCAGCAGAGAACCAAGCTGTATGTTACTCGGTGGTGAATGGTCCACGGGACCCCTAAATACGTAGTTTGGTGGTAGTATGTAAACCTGGTATGTACAGGTATTTTTCTCTGAACTTTAGAAATTCTCGGTGACTTCCCTTTGGGAGCAAAAACAGCAATAACAGCAACAACATAAAACAACCAAGCCAAAAAAAAAAAAAAAAAAAGCAGCCTCAAGCAATACATCTTACGTTCCTTAAATTTACAATACCCACAGCTCGGTAATTTTGAGGCCTTTGGGGGTAGAGCCCTTTTTAATTTAGAAGTGTAATAAAAATTGTCCTATGATTTGTCAAGAATGCTGAGCTCTAGTCATCTTGAGACTAAGAAGGAAAGACAGGAAGGCCAGGGCAGTCTTACAGAGATTTAGCTTTGTGGTTCTCATGCTTTAAATATACTCTCAGGTGTAAGCTGTAATTGCAAGGTGACTCACATACCGTGTTTGTATTCACCTGAGACAGACCTTCGTTTTAGCCGAGGTTCTTGGGGTACAGACAGTATATCCAGCAGAGCCAGAATTACCAGATAGTTAATGCCTTCATAGAGCCCTGTGTCGTAAGTAACTTCAGAAATCTCATCCTGAAGGTGGTGGTTGTTTAGGCAAAATTTACTTCCTGCAAAGTGATTTATAGTAATCTACTAGGTTCCTAGCAACCTTGAGGGTGGATCAAATCTGCAGCTTAGTTTAAATAAAGTCTAGAGCTTTTATAAAGAAATGAACCATTTAACTGAGGCCAGGCTTACACTCATTAACAAAAGAAGGATGAAAGGAACAATAAATAGAGTTTCATTGCCATCTAGTCTTAATATTTATATTTCACCTTTCCTTTTGCATAACAAAGACTGCTTTTAAAATTTTTTGAATGTACATGTTTTTATCTATAGTTGAACAGATTGGGAACTTGTTGTCTGACCTCAAGGTCTTTTTAGAGACAGGTTTCAGTTCCACTTGCCTGTGAATAATTTTGAAATACTGTTCTGCACATTCAGAAACCTTTAGTAACATTATGTTACCCATAGGTTATTAAGAATCTATCATTGTCTTGTGTTCCCTTGTGGCTCTGGTCTTATTTCAGTCTTTCTTTTTGGCTAGTTCTCTTCTTAAAAGCTTTTTGTTTTTATTTTATTTTTAGTTAACTCATGAGTTATGTGCTACATAGTATACACTGTACCTTTATGAAAAACTTAATCTCTTGCCATCTCTGAACCCCTCCTTACTGTCACCTGAATGTGCCCAGCTTGTTTCTTCTGAAGAAACCCCTGTCCTTTCTACCAGTCTGATTGTACGGAATTTCTCTGTCAAGACTCAGCTTCTTGCAGCCCCTTGGGAGTGTCTCCTGGCTTCCAACCTTCTCGCCTTTATTGTGAGTATGATTTATTGTGCCTCTCCAATACTGAAGACTTCGGATAATCTCACTCACTGACATTCCTGAGATCACTAGGGGACCTTTCTAGACCTCTATCTCTTGGCTGGCTTTCTTCTTCCCTCCTACAGACACTAGGCTGGGTCTTGGATTAAGACAAACTGTCTCTCAGGAAAAGTTGCATGTGTATTTAACTTAGGTGCTTGATTCATTTCTGTCAATAACATTCATTGCTGTTATGGGGGGCTCTGTGTGAAAGCCCTATGGTACATAACAGATGAAAAGTAACTTCCTTTCCTGTTTGTTTGGCGGTGTGTGCTAAGCTGCATTCTGTCACCGAGCTTTGCCCCTGCTCCTGGAAAGCAAAGGTTTGGGGTGTGTCACCTTGTCAGGGATGCCATGGAGTCTGTGAGGTTGGAAGTAATTGACACTAAGGCCTCTGCAAGTCTTCAGGTTGTCTAGGGACTGTATAGCAAGTGTATGGACACCTCGAGGACAGAATCCAAGTGTATTCATCTTAAGCCAGTGCTTTTCAAATTATGGGTCATAAGCCATTCGTTAAATCAATGTACTGAGCTGTAATTAGTGTTTGTTTTTTTTTTTTTTTAAGTAAAGTAGAAAATTATACAAGCATAAATATTCATGTAAATCACTTGGGTGATGTGGTTATTTTGTGAGCCTTTGATTCAATGACGTGTATATGTCTGTGCTTTATAAAGTAAATGCATTTCTTTTCAAAATCGTTGGAGGACTGAAGAGATGGCTCAGTAGAGCACTGTTGCCCTTGTGGAGAACTCAAGTTTGATTCCCAGCACTGAGCCATCTCTAACCCTAGTTCCAGGGACTCTAACAGCCACGCATGAGCTGCGCACACATACATGCAGGCAAAACATTCAGATACATAAAGGAATAAAGGAAAAATAAGTAAATATTCTTTTTAGAGTTTGAAAAACAGCTGGGTGTTTCAAAAACACATGTCTTTAATCCCAGCACTTAGAGGCGGAGACGGGTCTCTGAGTTTCAGATCGGCGTCATCTACATAGTGAGCTCCAGGACAGCTAGGAATATGAAGAAGAAACAAGTAAGAGAGAGTGAATATGTGTATATGTATACATACGTATATATATGTATGTATATATACATATATATACATATATATATATATAGGGAGGGAGAAAGAGAGAGAAACAGAAAGAAAGGGAAAGAAAACTGGCTCATTTGCATTGGCTGATCGTCAGCTCAAAAAATAGAGGTGACAGGTGACTGCTGTATCCCAAGGCAACATTTCTCATTCTTAAAACTAAAAAGATCAAATTTTTGAAAGTTGAGATATTTTGAATATGTAGGTGTTTATAATAAAACACAAAAGTACATTTTCACAGATGTTGGTAAAACTGGTGATAATTCTGCTTCTGTCAAGATTTAAATTTCGGGTTTGGGACTTACCATGTAGCCCAGTCTGGCCTGGCCTTCTGGAGTGCAGGGATCCCAAGCGTGTGCCAGCACACACAACTCTACTGCATTTCCTTTGTTGGAGGCTATGAAGTGGCTGAACTTGTTGGACTGGGGTAGGCTGGGGACAATCGGGAGTGAATGTGAGACAGTCTGGGAGTCAGAATCAGTTGCCTGATACCAAACGAGCCATTCGACTTCACTGCTCCTTAGACACAATGCTATTTTTTTAAAGTAGATAATAACCTTTATCAATTTCAAAGAGTTGGTGGGTGGGCAGATTGGAAAAAGCAAACAAATAAACACAAACCATGTTAAAATCTTTCAAGATAAATTTTTTTTTTCTGGTTTTTTTGAAACAGGGTTTCTCTGTGTAGCCTTGGCTGTCTTGGACTTGCTTTGTAGACCAGGCTAGCCTCGAACTCACAGAGATACACCTGCCTCTGCTGGAATTACAGGTGTGTGCCACCATGCCCAGCTCCTTCAAGATAAATTTAAACTTTCCACCATTTAAGAATTTGAGTCAGCTATATACAAAGATTTCAGGTAGCTTTATTTTTGAGCTAAGGATCTGAGCAACTTTCCTACCCTGACTCCGCCATTCAATCATAGCCATGTACAGCCATAGGCAGACAGTCCTGTCTATCATCCTACCTGCTGGCCTGTGTGAGAGGAGGGAGGGCCCAGTCACGAGGCAGTTTTATCCACTGTCCTGTGCACATCTCTCCCACACATGCTTGTTTCCCTCCTGTTACAGACATTCCACCTGTGCGGTGAGCAGTCAGTAGAGAGGGCTTGAGGACACCAGCTGCATCTCACGGGGAAGATGGAGGCCTGTGAACTCACAAGCGAACATGCATAAACCTCCGACCCAGAGAAAAGTAGCCTTTCCTCGGTAGTTGTCTCCAGCTGTTCGGAGACCCACTGGTATCAATAATAATGTCTGGGGAAGTTTTCTGAAGGAAATGACTACACTAACAACTTTATTTTTCATACATCACAGCTGAGAGGTCGATTGGAGTAGTTTCATAATTGGCACTAACCTGTGACACTGGCAGTGGCATTTGCTGCAGCACAGTGTCTGAACGGAAGAGGAGTTTACCAGGGCTGGGAAGGACACAGAGGCCAGGCACTGTGCTGCCACAGAAGGGCTGTTACAAACACTGTGTAATAGGACTTTTCTTGGGAAATGAGAAGGCGTGCATGCTTACATTCCTGGCAGGACAGACATGTAGACCATGACTCTTTGTGGAGGGATTTAAGTGTCAACAGGTTTTATTTGGGTTATGAAAATTAGAGATAAATTTGCCCTTTTTGTATTAATGTTCTACTTCTAAACTAGTGTTTTAAAAGAACACTCAAAACAAACATAATGTGGGAAGTTGCTCCTAATAAAACATGGCGGGTAAAGCAGTGCCGTGTGCAGTCTGTATTTATTTTTGAAGAATCTCCTCTTCATATCCTCACTCTCCCATAGTCTCAGGCTCCTGTCCCCTGTCACAGACACACACCTCCTATTACACATCATCACACATACACACTTCTCCATCACATGAATGCATCACACATGTGGCTAAATTCCTCTGGGGATAAAGAGCAGCAAGGCATTTCTATTTATTAACTTTGAAAAGTACATAAATAATTAATAGCCCTGGGAGTCCCTGCACAGATTCTTAGACAACAGGCCCTTTGGGCAGTCTTCCTTATTCACAGTTCAAATACACTCTTTATCCCTCGGGCATTGTCATACACATAAACATGGATGATTATGATTGTTAAATCAAACTGGTTATTAAAAACATGTATACACAGTCCACACAGAGAGACTAGTAAATATTTAAAATTGAAAAACTTTTGAAGCAGGTACTTATTTATAAAGTTTCTAAAAAATTGCATGGGCCATGGTGGCAAATTTCTTTCATCCCAGCAATCAGGAGGCAGAGCCAGGAGGAGATCTGTGAGTCAGAGACCAGGCTAATGTACATTATTCTAGGCCACCCAAGACTACCTAGTCAGACCTGTCTCAAAAAATTACTGAAAAATTAGGCTTTCTAGTTCATTACTTTTATTTGAAAACTGCCAGAGGGGCTGGGGAGATGGCCTAGCAGCATAGATAGAGCACTCATTCTTGCAGAGGAATCTAGTTCTATTTCCAATACCCACGTGGTGGCTCACAACTATCTGTAACTGTATTTCCTGGGGATCTGATCCCCTTTTCTGACTCTGGGGGTATCAGACATACAAGCAGCTAAGCCTTCATACATGTGAAAGAAATGAAATCATTGAAAGTATAAGGTGATTGCTGGAGCTGTAGGTCAGGTGCTAGAGCATGTGTAAGGCCTTGAGTTCAATGCCAGAACCAAACGATATAAAAACCTTAAACCGTGCTCTTTAATATTAACCGTGTTTTAAAAATAATATTGAACATATAGACAAATGTGAACTAGGATAGCCTAAATTTTAAAAATTTGTTGAATGAGAGGCCATCAAGCCATCTGCAGCGGCTGATGTCTTTAATTCTAGCTTCTGGGAGGTGGGAAGAAGATCAGAGGTTCAGTCTTCCTCAGCTGCATCATGACAGTGTGAATATACACTGGGCTACATGAGACAAGTGTACACATGTTGTCTATCTTAATCTTCCTGTGTCTTTTTTTTTTTTAAGTGAGAAGCACCAGACGAAGTAGCTCATGCCTGTAATCCCAGCACTTGGGGAGGCAGAGGCAGACAGATCTCTGTGAGTTCAAGGTCAGCCTGGTGCTTAAAGAGAGTTCAGGATAGCCAGGGCTACACAGAGAAACCCCTGTCTTGAAAAAAAGAATGATGATGATGATAATAAAAGTGTGGAGAGGCCTTAATGCCAGTAGTTGGCAACATAGGATCAAAACAGAGCTGGGCATTTCTTGAGACTAGTGGAAGAAACCCATGGCTAGGTCACACTAGAGACTTGCAGATTCTATTTAACAGTGGTGGGAGGTGCTTCTTCTGAACACAAACTTTTTGGTTTTGTTTTGTTTTGACTTTTAGAGACAAGGTTTCACCATGTAGCTCTGGCTGTCCTGGAACTCACTCTGTAGACCAGGCTGGCCTCAAACTCAAGAGATCGGCCTGCCTCTGCCTCCTGAGTGCTGAGATCAAAGGCATGAGCCACCACTGCCTGGTCACAAAATTTTCTGTGTGTGTTTCTGAAAGGTGAGGATGCCTAGTTTCCTGATACCCTTTGATCCCTTATGTCATAGTATCTGCTTCTAAGGCTAGGTTATTGTCAAATGCTGTCATAGAAATAAATGTGTTGGTAAGGCTTATCAAGAATTAGAACAATACTATTGTTTCCTGGTGTCCGCTGGTTCTAATCTTTTGTTAGTATATTTTATTTATTTTGTGTGTGGTAGGGAGGTTGTCCTTGTGTGGAGGTCAGAGATAAGCTCAGGGAGTCAGACCTCTCTCACCAGATAGGTAAAGAGCAGGGAAGGCAGGTCCTCAGGCTTGGCAGCAAGCGCTTTTGCCCCTTAAGCCATCCTGCCAGCCCCTGGTTCCATTTTGCCCTTTCTTTGTGGTGATAAAAGATGTCCACAGCAGAGCGTCCATAATCACTAAATAAGACTAAGAGCTCACACTATTGGCCAGGCACTAAGTGGCGCACATATATTGTCTTATTTTACTCTTCCTATCAGCCTTATGAAATACAGTTAGCCGAGTTTTACAGGTGATAAACTGAAGCCCAGTGAATCTGAGGCCACATAGTTTGTGTGCGGCAGAGCTGGGTACTCAACCCCACAACATGCTACTTTTCAGAGACAGCTGTTGGTAGATAGGAAAGGAAGTCATTGTTTACTTCCTTCAAGGTTACAAAAAAGAAATGGATCAAGTCCTATAAATTCTTGTGCCTGGCCGTTTTTGTGTATATAAAGCCTTGGCCGTTCACCTTTGATGCCTGTACCATTTCACCAGACTGATTAATAGTAAATTAGGGGACCACTGAGGGATGATAAAAGCTTTTTCTTCCTTCAAAAGCTGCCAAGGGGTGCGTGAAGTGCATTCTTGATGATGCACCTCTCTTCTCCAAGGAGTCCTAGTTGGAATGCAGATGTTCTGCCTGGTAGAGATTATACACCAAGCCAGATGTAGCTTCTAGACTTGACCAACTAGGACACTACCCAGAAAGTGAGAAGTGAGAGCAGGAAGGATTTTCTTTCCCTATAGGTAGGGAAGCTCCCACAGCTGAGGTTTTCCTATGAAACACTAAATCAAGAGGCCCTCACTAAGTCTACTTTGCATTAGTTTGCATCTGTCTCTAGACCAAGATGTTTGGGCTGGAGTTGCAAAGAGCCAAACAAGATTTATTCAGGAATTCACACTTGTTTTCCTACTGTTAGCACCTTCAGCTAGGTCAGCTTGCAGAGGAATCACAGACACTTGACAGAGGTGAAGCTACTTGGCTTAGCTTGATGCTTGGGGCAGGGATGGAGAGGGTGGAGGAGGTATGTAGCCTGGGTCAGCTCCAGGAAGCTGTGGGAGCTGCTGTCTAGGGAGGGCAGCCAGGTTGCTCAGAGCCCTTAGACTGGTGCATACCCCTAAGAAGGTAGCTGTCTTATTTTGGTTTTCTGTTGCTATACTAAAGACCATGACAAAAGCAACTTGGGGAAGAAAGGGTTCATTTCATCTTACAGTTCACAGTACTTCATTAAGGGAAGGCTGGGCAGGAACCTGGAGGCAGGAACTGAAGCAAAGGCAATAGAGGAATACTTCTTACAGGCTTGCTCCCTCCGGGCTTACTCAGTTTGCTTTCTCATACACCTCAGATCCACTTGCTCTGGGGTGGCATTGCCCACAGAAGGCTGGCCCTTCCACATCAGTCATCAGACAGGAACACGCACCACATAAGCTTGCCTGCAGTGTAGTCTGTTGGGGGCGTTTTCTCCGCTGAGATTATCCTCGGATGTCACATTAACCAGCACTGGATAGGTGCTCATTCTGTCATGTCTGGATGTGCTCTCTAAGGAGAGGCTCTGTGCCACCTGTTGCAGGTTTTTTTCCTACTTCAGACTGTTATAAAAAAATGAAAATCCCAGCCATTCTATTTTACCAGTGAAGACTCAGAAGCCAGTTGCTGGGGTGAAAACCTGTTAGCTCAGGCAGAGAAAGCACCCAGCTGACCTTCTTAGCTCACATCCCAGAAGGAAAAGGCCTAAAGCTAAAAGCTTGCTAGCTCAGCTGACAGCCTAGGCGGAGAAAGCCAAAAGCTCAAGGCCAAAGAGCTTAAGGGCCCAAGAGCATAAGAGCTAAAGGCTAAGGAGCAGAAAAGCTAAAGAGCTAAAATTGTCCTTCGCCATGCTGTTTTAAATTCCTTTTAACTCAAGGTTTCTCCTTTCAGTTCCCTGTCAGCTGGTAACTTGCTCCACCTCTTGACCTAGGGTTAAAGTTATTGAATCCTGTTTACAGAAAGCTCTTGGAGTAAAGGTGTGTACTAGGGCTGAGCCACACCATAATCTCCTATTTACAATCAATAGAAAGTTCTTGGATTAAAGGTGTGTTAAGGCTGAGCCACACCAAACATGAAACAGGTTTTTAAAATTCAGTCTCAGGGGTCAAATGTCCTGCAATGTCAGACAGTTTGAAAATGAGCAGTGATAAAGATGCCTTTAAAAAAGATTATTTAGATTATGTGTGTAAGTGTTTCATTAGAGTATATATTTGCACTGGGCGTGTGTCTAGTACCCTCAGAGGCCAGAAGACAGTGTCAGATCCCATAGAACTGAAGATGTAGACAGTTGTGAGCTGCCTTATGGGTACCAGGAACCAAATCTCCGTGGTCTCAACTGCTGAGCAGTCTCTCCAGCCTCCCAGATATGCTCTCTCTCTCTCTCTCTCTCTCTCTCTCTCTCTCTCTCTTTCTTCTTTTTGTTTTTGTTTTTTTGAGACAGGGTTTCTCTATGTAGCCCTCCCTGGCTGCGTTGGAATTCACTCTGTAGACCAGGCTGGCCTCAAACTCACATAGATCTGCTTGCCTCTGCCTCCAGAGTGTAGGGACTAAAGGCCAGAACCACCAATGCCCAGCTTTTATTTATTTTTTAATTTAATTTAAATTTTTTTTAGATAAGCTATCACTATGTAATCATGTAGCCCTGGCTGGTCTGAAAGTTGCTATATAGGCCAGGCTGGCCTCAAATTCGTAGAGTCACAGAGATAAATCTGACAGTCTCCTCAGTGCTGGGGTAAAGAGGAGTTTACCACCTGGCTTTTTTTGTTTTTGTTTTTTTTAATTCAGTAGTAAGAACTGAATCCAGGCTCTTGCACATGCCAGGAAGTATTCTGCCACTGAGTTCTATTCTTCAGCATGCTTTACTTTTTATTTTGAGGCAGGGTTTCTCTGATCTTGAGGTTTCCCTGACTTTTTATTTTGAGACAG